ATATGAGCGAAATATTCTCCAGCACGACGTTAAACCCAATTCCACCACCACCACCACAATGTAGCCAATTTCTGGTGTGCACAGTCATGATATTGCTGGAAAATTGCTGACAGGCATAAAATCTGACTCACTCAGTGGGATGTCAGGTAACACTCAAATACAGCCATGGAGTCTGTAGTTCCTTGATTCTGATCAGTACAGCGGGAGAAGATGCGTTATTGTGTAAATGTTATTTATGTCTTGTTTTAAGAAATCAGGAATGACACTAGCCTGCTAGTCTAACGTTGAAGTTATCCTGAGGGTTTGTAGAATTTCAGGCTTTTGGAGGTTGTCCTCAAATATTTTTACTGTTTCATCTCAGTGGGATAGCCCAGTGGTTAAAGCGTTCACTTGCCACGCCGAAAACCAGGGTTCAATTCCCCACATGGTACAATGTGGCGAGCCCATTTCTGGTGTCCCTGTGAAGATCTGGGTTAGAATTGATCTTCAGTAGCCCATGCTTGTCTTAAGAGGCGACTAACAGGGTCAGGTGGTCAGGCTCGCTGACTTGGTTGACACATGTCATCGTATCCCAATTGCGTAGATCAATGCTCATGCTGTTGGTCACTGGATTGTCTGGTCCAGACTCAATTATTTACAGACCACCACCATATAGCTGAAATATTGCTGAGTGCGGTGTAAAACTAAACTCACTCACTCACTGATCAAGATGGAGTTTAACTGAACTATTGTACTATGGTTGGAAAAAATATCTGCTCTGTGCCAAATGCAGGCACTATACAGTATACACAAGGAAGGCAATGGCCAGAACTGTTTGTGATGCAGATGGATGCAGCCGGGAGCAGATGGGAGCTGTGCAGATGGAGTAGAAATGATTAGTACATACATCACATACACCTTCACACCTATCAGACAGGTGTGCCAGCTGGCTATACATGCAGCAATCAATAATCTGTTCATGTTGGCTGTCTCCTTCACAGCACAACTTGAAAGTCAGCAAGAAATTTAAATAGAACGCTGAAAAGACAGTTTCCAGAAGCCGTGACTTTCATCAGTGACTATGGGTTTGTGGTTGTTGAAGAAACAATTAAGTGCTGTGATGGGTATCTGCTGTATCACAATATCATTTATATCTGCTTTATTGACCTGGGGAGTGTTTTAGACATAATAAGTAGTCATTATCAAGGGTCAAGGTCATCCTTAAGGTCAGAGCCTGAAGGAAGGGTGATTTGAATGAGGATTTAACTTGGTACATCATGGTACATCACAACGTCACCATGTTGCAAACTCAAACATTCATACAAACTGGCCCCCACTCTAGGAAGTTTATACTCCAATAAAGGCACGCAAGTCAATTCTTAAATGAATGATCTCTGTATAGGGTCAAGGTCGCAGGGATGATGATTCATAAAGTTTGTTTATCATTTTCGCTTAAGTGCTCTTTCTTTACAGATTAAGAATCTATACATGTAGTTGTTAAGTTTAAAAACTTGTCTATGACAAGTACTGATGATGTTATTATTCCATTTGTTGGTAATACAGTACAACCAGAAATTATTGAGAATTTAAGATTGTAATTTTTTATATTTTTTTCACTCATTACTCACGTATTAAATGTGAATTTTAGCAGAACATAACTCCAGATTCAAAGACAGGTGAACAGTTAGTATTTTGTCAAGTCACCATGGGCAGCAATGCAGGCTTCAATGCGGCGGGGCATACTACTGATCAAAGAAGTTAGAAAGTCGTGGTTCATGCTGTCCCAATATCGGACCACCTCTTCTTTCATTTCAGCAATATTTGTCAGATTTTTCTTATTGACACTTTCCTTCATAAGTCCCCAAACATTTTCTATTGGAGTTAGGTCAGGGCTATAGCTTGGCCAATCTAATAATGTCATATTTTGGGTCCGAAACCAGGCCTGTGAATGCTTTGAACGATGTTTTGGGTCGTTGTCCTGCTGGAAAATCAAAAGATTTCCATAGAACATGTGAGCAGATGGAAGTAAATGTCCTTCGAGAATATCTGTGTAGCGCTCACTGTTCATATTCCCTTCGAATACACAGATGGGCGTTTCCCCTTTACACAGATATGCCACCCCACACGTTAAATTTCGGACTGTACTTTGGGGGCTGATACAAAGGTTTTTCAGTTTGTTTGGTCCAGAATTTCAGTGTATTAGGAACCAGCCACACAGAACTTTCATCTGAGAAATCACATTGTCCCAGTTAAAATTTCTATGCTGTAAGCACCAGTTCAACCTTCGCTCCTTTTGTTCAGGTTTCATGATCGGTGATGGAATTCCTCGACTTTTCTGCCAACCCATTGCATGCTGCTCAGTTCTAATTGTCTCCTTACAGACAGCCACAGTTCCTCTATCAATCATATCCAGCCTTAAGTTTTCTAAACTCCTTCGTTTGTTTTTAGAAACAAGAATACCAAGCCGCCTCCTGTCACCGACAGTTAATTTTCTGGGCCTACCTGCGCCTCCCTGGTGCTCAGTGCCATATCCATTTGCAATATTTTTCAAAACAGGATAAACAGTGGACAAAGGGATGCCTGTTCTACTAGAAATCACTTTAGCTGATCTGATGTCCTTGTTATAATACTCTAAAATCAACTTCCTCTTCTCTAAATCATCCATACTGAGGATCACTGAAAATGTCGTCTGCTAGCAAGTAAGCAAAGGGGGATAACTCTTCACAAACTAATGGAAAAGGATTAACTGAGTTGTCTCTCTTGAATGAAACCAAGCACTTGATAGCTGGTCAAGGTTGTTTATACTAGAAATCCAATTAAACATATTCCTAAAATTCTCAATAATTTCTGGTAGTGATCCAAACAACAGTAATTTGCCCATTTAGTCATCATTCATAATGATTATGTTTGTATCGATACCTTTGAGGTGTATTTAATTGCTGAGAATCCTGGAAATCTCTATGTTTATAATTATCTTTGATTGCCTTTAGGGAGATGAAACGTTGCAAACCAAATAAGGGTTCTAGCAATAATGTCATTGTATCTAATGAAGTCTAAAAGTCATGTCAGGGCAATAAAAATATTTTGAAATGGGTTCTAGCCTGAGTGACTTGATTTGGGTCATTCAAGATTTGGTTTATAAACACACTCTTTTGTTGATAATAAATTTAGAACATAATTATAACCCTTGTTACACAGAGGGCATGGTGGGGGTAGTCTAATGGTTGAAGTGCTTGCCTGTTGCACCGAAGAGCTGGGTTTGATTCCCCCAAAGGTAAAAGGTGCAATTCCCATTTCTGGTGTACCCCCCTGAAATTGCTGGAATACTGATAAAGGTGGCATAAAACCTTACTTACTCACTCATTGCACAGAAAAAAATCTGTCCGTTTCACAGAGGACATTGGACCAAGGGGCCCATAGCCACCCCATTAAACATATTCTCTTTCAGGCCAAATCCAGTAACAAAATTACAGGAAATAAATTTAAATGCGTATACATCCATATGATTATTCAAATTATGGCATCCTAGCAGAATAGAGTGTTCCATATATGGTTATATTGACTGTTCATGCAGAAGTGTTCCTTTAACCCTTGGGCTTTGTAATGGCTGTTGTTAGAACATGCTCTGTCAGGCAGAGCAGCAAAGCTTGCAAATTATTATGTGTCGCCGATAAGAAAAGGCTACAGCACCATCTGCGGGCTGCTATCCACACCGGACACGACATTATGGATTCTAAACCACTCACATCAGCTGTTACCAGTTGATTGTTGCGAGACTTTGACAGTGTATACATTAGTACAACATTCAGCATATCACATAAGTTAGTATAATATCAACTGCAGTGTCAATTGAATGTCAGACTGTAGTATGTTATGAGAATGAACAAATAATGGCTGGCTGAGCAGATAATCTTGTCTTTTATCTTCTGCAACAAAGGCGCCTTTGTATCTATTTCATTTTGCAGAGTAATAAACTGGATATATTAATATACTGTATATGGTGTGATTATTAGTCATATGTCCTATGTCTGAAGCAGGCTGGATGTGTAAAGTGGAAATTTGTATTTTGATACAATGCTCTTTTCTTACATTTATATCGGTTAGTGAGATTGAATGTATTAAAATTAAAAAAGAAATATTTGAATTTTCAGGAAGATACAGACTAGAGTGTTTGATGCATCTGAATTGATACCTCGTAAAGATGGGAAAGATGCAATAACTCGGTGCTCCTTGTGGCAGCAAGAGTTGTATGCTCCCCAGGGAGCTGAGATTGATAATAAGATGTGCCGTTGAGATTGACATCCAATGATCGAGGGAAAAAATACCAGCGCCTTGAGCATGTACTAGTGCGTGGATATGTGCTCTATATAAATATCCAATAATAATAAATAATGAATAATACATGAATGCATCCCAGTTTTCTATTTTAGAATATATTATTAATGATAATGAAATTTATATTTTGCCAGTTGTCATTTGTGGGTTATTTTCATTAATACATCTGGAAACAGACTCTTTCAATATGATGTTTTGGAGTTGCATTTTAATTGTGTTTTTTTGTTGTTTAAATTTATTAACATAGTCTGTATGACCTTCATTGCAATTGTTTATGCTAATCAAGAGACTACATGTTCAGCGTTGTGTTTAATTTTTTCATGTGACTACATCATATATGTTTGGCTGAAGTAATTCATCTCAGTATTGTTGCATTAAAATATTTTGGACCATTGTTATTGATGCATTTTGTGTTTATGTAAAAGGCATGTAGTAATGCTCAGTGTATCAATCACTTGTTTTCATGTATTAGCTGGATAATTGTGTCTCAATACTCCCAGATGACATGGATCCATGCTCTTGGTATCAACCACTAGTTTAATGTGGTTCCAGATGGGTGGGTGTCATAGATTAATACTGATATTTTCCAAATTTACAGGAAGCTGTGTGTGTTATGGCTGATATAAATATAGCTAGATATTGGTGCAAGTCAAATTCATTCACATGGTGCTTCATGCTGGTTGCAGGTGTATATTGATACTCATGTCCAGAGCTCCCAAGGTGTCAAGGGGGCCATTCAGGCCAACATGACACAGGTGCTTTCCAGGTTCTCTGAAAAACTCTCCGATGCTGAGGAAACAGTGGTAAGTTCAACCTGTCCAAAATATAAAGTTTAAATTCATTTTCTTGCTTTATATTGTGTGATTCATAGTAATTCATCCCTTACATTAAGCAGATACTTACTGCACAAATTACAACCTCTACACCTGGTGAATGAACTGTCCAAAAAGCTGGTTGGTTGGTTTTATAGTTTTAGGGCGACGTGGGCCAGTAAGAGGCCTATTTGCGCCCATCCAAAAAGCTGTACTTGCCTGTGCAGTTGTATCCCTTACATGCACCAGAATCTTATGAGTATCTGTTCAATTCCCAGGCTTGCCATTATTGAGATCCCTGGCTTCTCTGCATCATTCGCTTGTAAAAATCTGATACCTGTATCACATCGTTTTTTTTTTCTAACTAAATTTAGCTGAGACACTGTGAACTGAAACGCTGTTCGATGCAGCGTAGACTGAACTGACATACTGGCCACTGGAAACATGCCCAAACTCCTTCTTTGTTTGTTTGTTGTTCAACACCACACACAGCCATATTCTTGCTATATGGCCGATCACATGAGTCGCCTGTTACGACAAGCAAGGGTGACTGAAGGTCAATTGTAACCCGGGGTAGAGTAGAGTAGAGTAGAGTCTTCAGCAACCCATGCTTGCCACAAAAGGCGACTATGCTTGTCGTAAGAGGTGACTAACGAGATCGGGTGGTCAGGCTCGCTGACTTGGTTGATTTACATGTCATCGGTTCCCAATTGCGTAGATCGATGCTCATGCTGTTGATCACAGGATTGTATGGTCCAGACTTGATTATTTACAGACCGCCGCCATATAGCTGGAATATTGCTGAGTGCGGCGTAAGACTAAACTCACTCACTCACTTAATTGTAACCCGAATCTTCACGGGTAAGCTCCTTCTTTAAATGCATCACACTTTTGTTCCAGGAAGAGGATGGAGATGATGTGTTGGCCGACTTCAGACCATCTGGAGGGAAGCTGAGCACGACGGAGAGTCTGATGGACGACGTGGTGTCTATTCTCAAATATCTCTGTGACAAGCTTGTCGGGCTGCAGAGGTACCCTCACTCACACTCAGAGGACTCTAACCCAATCAGTTGCTTTTGAACCTGCTTAGTGATCAGGGAACAATGAACTACATATTCCAGTTTTGATATTTGTAGCTGAATAATTTAAATGGGCAGAGGGATTTCTGGAGAATGTTTCTGTTTGGCAGCTAAGTGAAACGTGAATATGATGTAGTTGAAAACAGGCCATAACATGAATTTTGGACAACACAAAATAAGTTAAAGAAATTTAACATTTTCTTGCATGACAGGTAAGCTGTAGTAACACTCTATAACTCCCTGTTGTTTGTGTTTGACTTTGTCAATGATCCATGTGGAGATTTGTGTTGATTTTTGTTGTGGTAATTGGCTTGTCTTGAGTGGTGTTTATTCTGTGTGTCCCTGTACAGTGGCAGCCAAACAAAGCAGTCTCTCCCCCCTCCTCCTGGAGGGCATCCATGCCATCCTCAGCCAGGCCCCCCAGACCCTCCGCAACAACGACAGCTTCCAGGAACTGGTGTGGTGAGTCCTGTAATAGACTCGAGTTATCACAGGGGTGGAAATAACTTTAAAATTGCTAGTGTACTCCGGTACAGTGGCACATGCAAAATCACTTGCCCTGATAATTTTTCCACTATACCGGCCGTTTTCTTGTTGATTTTTTAAATAAACAACATAATTAACATTGGAAAGTCAACTGGACACCGGTACAGTGTGATATACAAATTTGCTTGCCCGACAGAAAAAAAACACTGGACTCGGACGTCGGGCAATGGGTTATTTCCACCCCTGTATCATGAACTGGTATGGTGAGTTCTGTTCTAGGTCAGGCCCTGAAGGCAGTTTAGCAGTTAAAGCTTCAGCTCGTCACGCTGAAGGCCCGGGTTCGATTTCCCACATGGGTACAATGTGTGAAGCCCATTTCTGGTGACCCTGCTGTGATATTGCTGGAATATTGCTCAAAGCGGCGTAAAACCATACTCACTACCTTATTTGGTTCCCAGAATCAACTCCAGGATTTATGTCCAATAATCCCATACAGGGAAATCTTGTTATTGGACAATGTAAGTTGATAGTCCAGACATTGTTGACACAATGCTCTCATGCCTGCATGCTCCTCGTCCCCAATGGACTTGTACAAATCCTGTTTCACCATACTTCACCTGCCACCATCTGATTTCAGGAAGAACCTGTGTCCCACCATCATCTCCCTGCTGGGCACCCCCAAGGCAGAGAAGAGCTCCCTCCTGCAGAAGGCTGACGAGATGGGGCGGGGCTCGGGCTGCTCTTCCTCAGCCCCCAACATTCTCAGTTCAGCAGCTAAAGTCATATACAGGTGAGTGAGTCTGTTATCGGTGGCATTGCACCTGGCCAACATCTGTAGTGTATGAAGTCATATGCAGGCAAATAGTGACAAGACAGCACCTAGCCGACATTCTCAGTGTATAAAGTCATATGTATACAGGTGAGTCTGTTATTGGTAGTATTGTACCTAGCCAACATTTTAGAAGATGAAGTCATAAGCAGGAAAGTTATTCACTATTGGTTGCATAGCACCTGCCCAGCCAACATTCTAGAAGATGAAGTCATGTGCATGCAGGAAAGTTATTCACTATTGGTTGCATAGCACCTGCCCAACCAACATTCTAGAAGATGAAGTCATGTGCATGCAGGAAAGTTATTCACTATTGGTTGCATAGCACCTGCCCAACCAACATTCTAGAAGATGAAGTCATATGCAGGAAAGTTATTCACTATTGGTTGCGCAGCACCTACCCAACCAACATTCTAGAAGATGAAGTCATATGCAGGAAAGTTATTCACTATTGGTTGCATAGCACCTGCCCAACAACCTCAGTGGAAGAGTCATAATGTACCATGGGCTATGACAATACACATTTTCAAAATCTGTTACATCGCCTGATGAGAAATGGTTTATAGATGAAAACATATCAACTAACAAGACATTAAGATGTCTTTCTCTTGCTGAAATAGTGGCCGGCGATTTGTTTTGTAAGCTCAGTCAGAAAAGGGTGTGTTACTTTTTACTTCCAGTGATGTACATGTGGCATTTAATTAGTCTAGTGTCAAGCTTAAGAAAAGCAAGATTCATGGATGTCAACTTCCTTATTGTGAATAACACAAATGTTTCGGAGTGTATGCTTGCTCCTTCATCACCTTTCACCTGATGAAGGAGCAAGCATACACTCTGAAACATCGTGTTATTCACAATAAGAAAGTTGACATCCATGAATATTGCTTTTCTTATGCATTCCACTTCTAAATGCCCTTCAAAGATAGTATCAAGCTTGTTTCGGTATGTAACACTATGATGTGTCACTCATTTTGTTCAGGAACTCATTACACACAGGGGGGCGATGGGGTAGCCTAGTGGTTAAAGCGTTTGCTCGTCATGCTGAAGACCCGGGTTCGATTCCCCACATGGGTAAAATGTGTGAAGCCCATTTCAGGTGTCCCCCACCGTGATATTGCTGAAATATTGCTAAAAGCAGTGTAAAACTAAAACTCATTACACACAGATTCCAGATACTGGAGCTCCATCCATGTCATTATCTGACTAATTCGTCACTCGCTATTGTCCACTCCCCAGTATTGCTGCGGAGCTTGTACGACTGGTGGGCAACATCGGGTCACTGCGACCCGTGCTGGAGTCCCTCTTCCACAGGATGCTGCTGTACCCCCCTCCTCAGCACAGACTCGATGCTCTCAAGGTCATGAAGGAGGTTGGTAGTTGTGATGCCATGATTACCATTATGTGTTTTCCAGAATTAGGTTACAGTCATGTTGTTGTATTGTACATGAAAGATAGATGGATGGATTCCAAGATTTCAGACTTTATTCCTTTGTTGATATTTTGTCAAACACTTATGTGTCAAACTTTGATAATGTTGAGCTTTCGGCTTTCTCTAATTGTTCCTGTTTGCCCCCTGTGTATTCATCATTTGGTCATCATTTTGCACTAGTGTCAAACCATTGATAACTAGTATTTACGTACTTCCACCTTCGACACAGTGGGGTTTGACTGTGAGTGAAAGTTTAAATGTTTTATGTCTGTGTCTCCAGTATTCAGTACATTACCATCCAGGGCCCTATTTCACAAAGTGCTACGAGAAAAGTTACGAGACCTTGGGCTTACCAGAGCTTTGTGAAACGGGGCCCTGTACAATACTTCAGTAGAGACTTGGGTCAGACCTTAAACTTGCTTTATAAAATCTGTTGACTCCAAAACATCCCTCCTCCTTCCCCCCACTCACTCACAAGTTTTCATGCACTTAAGGACCCGTGAAGATCCGAGGTAGAATAGGTCTACAGCAACCCATGTGCTTGCCATAAGAGGCAACTATGCTTGTCGTAAGAGGCGACTAACGGGATCGGATGGTCAGTTTCGCTGACTTGGTTGACACATGTCATCGGTTCCCAATTGCACAGATCGATGCTCATGCTGTTGATCACTGGATTGTCTGGTCCAGACTCGATTATTTACAGACCGCCGACATATAGCTGGGATATTGCAGAGTGTGGCGTAAAACTCACTCACTCACTCATGCACTTAAGTACAAGCACTCCCTCATGCTCATGTACTCATTCAATCACTCTTTCATATTCTAGGGAAATCTGAACTCCAGAGTTCAATAGTTTCCATGTTACTCTATTTTCCAGCTGCTAGGAGACAGTGAGAGAGTGATAGATCTGTCAGCTCCATTGGCAGAAGAAGACAACCAAGTGAAGCCATCAGGCAAGGCCACCCACTCCGATGTAGCGCTGCTCAAACTGTAAGTTGATTGTGTTAGTGATGGGACATTTAGACAAAACCCTTCAACACACATTGAAAGGTAGACTGTCTTGAATCTGTGACTGTCTGTTTTCTTTTGTGGCTCAGAGGGAGAAGCAGTTTGTCTGCACATTCAGTCAGTGGTATACAGAAGTAAACTGCTTGAAGCTGAGGGCAGTGCCCAGTGGTTAAAGCATTCATTCTCTTGCTGAACACCAGGGTTCAGTTCCCCACATGGCCCTCAGGGGTGGTGGAGTAGCAGAGTGGTTAAAGCATTCCCCTGTCACGCTGAGGACCCGGGTTCGATTCCCCACATGGGTACTATGTGTGAAGCCCATTTCTGTTGACCTCCACCATGATATTGCTGGAATATTGCAGAAAGTGGCATAAAACTAAACTCACTCACTCACTCTACACAGTGATCACAGCATTGCATTTGTTTCAGGTCCATGTGAATGTATGCATGTCAGGCTGTAGTGTAATATGTGGGGATGTTCAGGGTTGGAAATTGTACAAGCATAGTGGTTAAAGCGTTCCCCTGTCACGCTGAGGACCCGGGTTCGATTCCCCACATGGGTACAATGTGTGAAGATCATTTCTTATGTAATATACATGGATTATATGTTTTCAAGTAAATACAGTGGTTCACTAGGGACCGTTCATAATTCATGGCTAGGGGGTGTGATGATGATTTTTATGGAGAGGCGTGTACAAAGTGAATTGTACAAAGTAAGTGAACCCCTCTGCATGTCATGTTCAAAATTGCTGACCTACCCCTTGTACATGTGTACAAAATTGATGACTCTCTCTCTTGAAATTATCATCATCACCTCCTAGCCATAAATTATCAACGGTCCCTTACAAGTTTTTTATTTGCTGTAGTGTAGGTCCCCCCCTTACATGGTTACCGTGTGTTGCAGGATAGTTGACAGTGTGCAGGAGTGTATCCACTGCAATGATTCCGGTGTGTGTTTCACCAGCGTCATGTGTGTAGACCAGTTGTTGGGATCTCTGGAGAGGCTGAGTCGAGGGGAGAACCTGTCTCTGTCTGTGGCTGAAGACATCAACAAACTCTACCCCACCTTTAGTAAAGGTTTGTAGCTCTCACACTGAAAATCTCCCTGTGGCAGATTTCCCAGCAATCACTGCTGGTCATTAGTGGTTTCAAAATTATGATGTAAGATTTGTTAGGAAACATCACCACAGTCAACATAAGTTTTAGTTTAGGTCGAGCAAGTGATTATTGTGGGCAATATGCAAGCTGTTCATCATGGTATTAGATGATGATGACAACGAGGATGACGACGATGACGACGATGATGATGATGACGACGATGATGATGATGATGATGATGATGATGATGATGATGATGATGAAGAGTACCTGTTAGTTCACACATGCTTGTGACTGCGAGATATTTCTGCTTCTTCAGCTGTCTTTCAGGATCTATGTTTGAAACAATTTCCCAAATTTCAGGATTATATCTTTCACTTGTCCAACAATGAGTAAATCCGAGTATCAGCCATAGTATTATACAGACACAAATAACTGCAAATGTTGTGTAATATTCCTGCAGATTCTATAAATTTCATGTTTAAATGCACCTTCCACAGAAGTGTTTGATAAGAAGGACTCAAGCAGCTGTGATGGAGGATCAGCGGAAACTTTAGACATACCAGACAAAGAACCGGTCGTCCCGGAAACCACAGACGCTTCAGCTACCATCGAGAAACCTGATCAGGAAAAAGATGAGACTGATGTCACCAGGAGAACCAGCTCGGAGACCTCGGACGGGGTAAAGGAGTATGAGAGCGAGAGTGACCGCGAGATGGAAATCCAGGCCACCATTCAGTCCCAGTTGGAGACGCAGCTGAAGGAGGAGATGGTGAGGCGACAGAAGCTGCTGCGAGAGAGGTTCGAGAGCGTGGAGCGGCAGAATGCTCAGGAGTTTATGCAGAAGCTGCAGGGTATCCTGCCTCATCTGTTGACTCTTGGCAGCGTGTTTGAGGTGGACGAGGCGCTGCAGAAGTTCGCATCTGACTTCTGTGCAGGTAGAGTCTTTGACATTGTTAACCCTAACACATGTAAGGAGGTTGTGTTTAAAAGATGTAACATGCTTGTGTTTACATGATCTACATTCACTTTGAGATGATTTTTCACAAAATGTTCATGTAGGAAACATTTTTAACAAAAAAATATTGTGTGGAAAAATTGTTCACTACTTTTTCACAACTTACTTACTATGTGCTCCAATTTCTTTGAAACTTGTACCATCTTAAAATGTTCTATTTTTCCTTATCCTGACTCATGCTAATTGTGTTTGTCTCCTTCCTCTTGCGAATGATAGTGGAACACTTGAAATCCCTTGAAGTTTCCTTCTAAAAAAGCGGACGTAAAATCACTCACCCTTGAGTAGTCTCCCTTTCCTCCCTTTGGCGCCCTTTTTGGTCACATGACCAGCCATGTTTGTCACTCTCTCCTTCATTGCCCTTGAGGACGATTGTGAGAGCACCTGGGTCCCTATACGGCAAATATCCTTTTATATTTTCGGACCTTACATCAAAATTATTGCTGTTTATGTTTTTTAGGATTATATTCTACATTACGGTTTGAAATTTGATCTAATTTTCCGTTGTTTGATATGTTTTTTCAGTGTGTTTACATTTGATGAAAACCTGTGTTCCTTGTAGGTACCGAGTGTCTGCGGCTGACCCTCATTTATTATGTCCTAATTGCACTATTTCATGTTCTTTCAGCTCTCGCTGTAAGTTTTGTGTAAATTTAACCTCTGTTGAATTTACTAAATACCTTTTTTCCATCCATAGACGTGCTAAGGACTGGGTACGAAGGTATTCACAAGTCATGTCTAAATCAAGTGATTGCGCTGATAACCGTGTGTTAACCACTGCTGCAGACATTCATAATTCCAGTGATTTGCCGAACGTTTCTCGGGAGCAGGTCGCTGTACCAGTGGTGAACGCCGGAGGCCATAAGAGATCATTGTCTACTGAGCTGACCTCGTCGCAGATGAAGAAGGCTAAATCATCTTCTACGCAGAAGAAAAAGGCTACTATCATGAAGACTTCATCAAGTCTATGCTCAGCTCTACGCAGAAGACGAGGTCTTTCTCAGCCGAGATTGTTCCTCCGGAAGAAGCAGACGTTTATGATGATCCACCCATCCTCATACCTGAAGTCTCCATCGTCAGTAAGAACACGAAACGTGCTTCTACAGCTACATTGGCATTGTTATCAGCACAGACATTGACAGAAGACCTTCTATCAACGCAGACATCGGGACCAGAGATAGCAGCGGCATCAACTCTTCACAAGTGCAGCGAGCCTTAGATGACGTCTCTTCAGTATCAGATGCATCGTCCCTGCAGCAGTCTCTTCAGACAACGAAGAACTTCAACCCGGGACTGTTCATGCAACAGTTTACAGACCAGATGATGTCGATGATGGAACGTCGCTTCGCTCAGGAGAAGGCTGCTATGAAGACCTCTACAACGACTACTAGACTGCGTGAAGGTTCTACAGTCTCTCCACCGCATCCGGATGAAGAGGGAAGCCTGCGTGAAGGCTCACGGACACAACGATCTTCCCCATCTGAAGTGAGGAGTCTGGACACCGCTACCAACGTCAGTTGAGCCGTAGACGCTCGAGAGATTGCTGCTAAGAAGTCTCCACGCAGGAAGGAATCTAGGCATTCTCCTGAACCCCACAGACGTCGCAGATATGAGTCTTCATCTCCATCGAACTCTAAAGCCCATCAAGAACCTGTGCGAAGACACTCCTACAGAGGGGAAGCTACTTCCAGAAACCCACCTTCACGAAGACCTAGAGAATCATCTCAAGACTCTAGAAAGGATACACGATCGGATCGCGATCGCTTGCCTGCGTGAAGCTCATCATACAGATCATCCCATAGAGACTCAAGTCGTCGTGGATCCATAGAGCGAGAGATGTCCAAATCAGAGGAAGAAGGTGAAGGCATATTCTCCGATAAGGAAGTTAACTCATGGATCGCCAATGGCTTGGACTTAGCATCACCTTCTAAGGACACAGATGAGGCGTTTACCTACAAGATGTCCAACGATGATTTCGACACGCTCACCTTTCCACCGATCGACCCGATCTCTCAAGTACCAGACAACCTCGGCGGAGCTTTTGATAAAGCCACCAAGTCTCAGAATCAGCACATCCCGACGTTCAGCACCAGGAAATTCCCTCTACATAGGATGGAACCCTTCCTGAAGGCTTCAGAGGTTGATGATGACTACAAGATTATCACCAACTCCCGTCAGAGAACTTACAAGATTGAGGATAAGAAGTTAGCGCAGCTGGATACAACCACCAGACGTATCTTCTTCGGATTAGCCAGATCGAGGGCTATCAACAAAACACTCATCTCGAAGTTCAAGAACTCCTCTGCCGAAGAAGACCGGATGATATACTCCTCTCTACTAATACAGAAGAGGGACCATCAGTTTATGTCGGAGCACCTAGCATCCACATCAGCGGGCCTGACTCTCCTGAGAAGACAAGGGTTATTCAGCATGCACTTGGAGTGAACGCTTCACCAAGTCCTTATACAGAGCCCCATGGTCAGCATCTTACATCTTCGGAGGAGGAATTGAAGAAGTCGCCAGAGAAGTCTCTCACGACTCAAGGGAGGTTATGATGATTAAATCCATCAACACCTTGGCTAATGTGATGTGTCAGACGTCCCTACGCTACTCCAACAAATCCAAGTTTGCAGGAGTCCAGAGAGCCAGAGAAAAGAAGTATTCCAGCATGAAAGGAGGAAGAGGCTCCTTTCGTCGCCCAACCGGAGCTCCTAGAGGTAACCCCGGAAGAGACCGAGCACCTAGGAGTGCAAGAGAAATCAAGCGCTGAAGGCCAGGTTTGGAACGACTGGAGTCTTCCACCCCCAGCCGTTCCTGTACAACCTTCGACAGTGGGTGGACGTCTTCAACGATACTGGGAAAATTGGGGAATCCTACAAGAAGACTACGTGTCCCAGATACTACGCAGAGGGTACAAGATACAGTTGGAAGCCACCCCGCCGCTCACAAGCAACCCGATGGCCTTCAACTATGCAGCCGACCAGATAGAGAAACTGGACGACACTATCAAGACCCTACTCGACAAAGAGGCAGTAGAAGAGATAGATCAAGATTTCATCACGCCCGGGTTCTACTCCCCAAATTTCTTGGTATCGAAGAAGAATTCGAAAGAGAAATTCCGGCTCATCTACAACATGAGGAAAATCAACAGAGTATCTACGCAGACCAGCAAAATTCAAGATGATACATCTTCCTCAGATCCGACATCTCGTTCGTCAAGCAGACTACCTCGCCAGCGTAGATTTACAAGATGCGTACCTCCACATCACGATTCATCCAGACTCAAAGGAAATACCTTATATTCCTTTTTAACGGACATCACTTCCAGTGGAAGGTTCTACCGTTTGGAATATCGTCGGCTCCCTGGTTGTTTACTCGAGTGACCAAGCCCATCATCACATATCTACATCGTCGAGGTCTACGCAGTGCTTTCGACCTGGACGACGGGATTCAAGCTCATCAAGATCCCAGTCAACTCAGACTGCAACTAGACTTCACCATCAGGCTGCTCACTCAACTAGGATGGCTAGTAAATCTCGTCAAGTCGGAACTGGAGCCGAAACAAGATCTGCAATTTCTAGGAATTCGACTCATCATACCAGTGAATCTCATAGTCGTTCCAGAGGATCGTTGGGTCAAGATACAACAGATGATATCTCAAGCAATGCTCTCTCTGTTGACACTACGTGCTTGGCAAAGCATGCTCGGTCTACTCACCTCAGCTCAAGACATGACTCGCAGAGGGAGACTACAGTTGCACCCACTACAAGTATTTGTGAACGCCCACCTAGACAGCCTAGATCCGTTAATACTACCGGACAGCCTGAAACCATATCTCCTATGGTGGACTCGGAAGTCGAATGTTTGCGGAGGAACCTTTTTGACAGAGCCGGTTTGCAACACTCATCTCTACGTGGATGGGGTGCGCACTTCAACAACAAAGTGGCAGCAGGGAAGTGGTCGAGTCAGGATCAGAAGTCCCACATCAATCTGTTGGAGATGAAAGCAGTAATCAACGCTTTACAACATTTGACCAGCGTACTAAAGAACGCACGACTCATGGTACACACGGACAACTCCACAGTGGCGTTTTACATCAACAAACAAGGGTCAACAAGATCAACAAGTCTGCTACAACTCAGCTTTCTCCTGTTCAACATAGTCGACGACCTGAACATCTACATGAAGGCAGGCCACATTCAGGGAGCAAATAATGTCATAGCAGACGCCCTATCTTGTCCACTACAACCATCCCCGACGGAATGGATGTTGCATCCATAAGCATTCCAGTTCATCATACAGACTATAGGATCCCCACTAATAGACCTGTTTGCAACAAAGTTCAACAAACAGCTACCAACATTCGTCTCACCGATTCTAGATCCTCAGGCATGGGCAACAGATGCTCTAAGCATCTCATGGGAAGGACTAAACGCTTACGCGTTTCCACCTCCTGCACTGCTACCACAAGTACTACATAAACTCAAGCAGACGACTATGTTGCAACTGATTTTGGTCGCGCCCTATTGGCCAGCGAGGGTATGGTTTCCTGTCCTCATTCAAGAACTCGGAAGTCCAACCCTGAAACTACCAGAGTGGTCGAACCTACTCGTCCATCCACACACCAAGCAAACTCACGGGAACCCGACACTGTTCCAGCTACACGCGTGGAGCGTATTAAAGCTTGCCTGAAGACCAGAGGGTGCTCCGCCAGAGCAGCGAAAGCAGTTACACTAGCTCTACGTAGATCAACTTGCAACTTGTACGACGACAAGTGGCAGAGATTTGAACAGTATCCAAGAACCAACTGCCCGGTCAGCCTGACAGACAGTTCCACATCCCAGCACTATCTACAGTCATTGGGCCACAGGATATGCAGGATCTATCCTTATGCCCAGTCAGAGCACTTAAAGTCTACCTACAGAGAACTTAAACAAGGAGACAAAAATTCAAGCGCCTATTCATCCCCTTATCCACTGAGACGCCCACGGAAGACTCACGGACAATGATATCGATCTGGATGAGAGCCCTTATACTAAAGGCCTGTAAAGCAGCAGGACTTGAGCCTCCACGAGCCTCCAACCCACACGAAGTCAGAGCCCTGGCGTCAACACTTGCTCTGCATGGAAACTGCTCGATTACAACTATAATGGAGGGCTGCTTTTGGAGATCGAACACAGTGTTTGCCAACCACTACCTCAGAGACATTGCCACCGAAGACGTCTCAGGCATTCACCAGTTTGGGCCACTTGGTGTAGCACCCCCTTTTATCACGTGACTTGTGAAAACCAACGCTCTGGAGAGCAATGGCTATAAGTCCATGCACACGTCTAGGACAGACTAGCATGAGTGATAGACCCTGTACTTGTATAGGACATACTCGTACATGAAGAAGGGTCGCATCTCCACTTGATGTGCGCATCAAGAGATGTAGTTGCAATAGATAACTGATGGAATATTAGTATATCTAAAATCCACACGAAAATGTCAGAAGTTTCGGAAGAAATCTGACAAGTTTGGGTTCCCCCCCAGACTCATCAGAGAGAAGTTGAAAGAAAAGAATCTTCAACAGTGCCGTCATAAGTTCCCATGGGGGGTAATACAGGACGTAAATCTACAACCAGGGAATCCAGAACGTGGCCTGACCCACCACCGTTTCCGACGGATTCTGCAAGCATAATTAGCATGAGTCAGGATAAGGAAAAATGTGTAATTTTCTGACTAAAATTGATATTTTATACTTATCCTGACTCATGAGGTTAGCCCTCCCAACCTCCCCTCTTATGGCACTCTGGATTTCCCTGTAAATCCGGGTGTCGGGCATACATACGGAGAGAGTGATAAACATGGCTGGTCATGTGACCAAAAAGGGCGTCAAAACGGAGGAAAGGGAGACTACTCGAGGGTGAGTGAGTTTACGTCCGCTTTTTTAGAAGGAAACTTCAAGGGATTTCAAGTGTTCCACTATCATTCGCAAGAGAAGGGAAACAAGCAAAATTAGCATGAGTCAGGATAAGTATAAAATATCATTTTTAGTCAGAAAATTACATTTTTTCGATCCCTGAATGAATACTCTGTCTGTCCTTTTTAGAAACATAAATAAGACACCTTACCCAAACATTCCAGCTGTCGCCACAGTGACCATTCTTGTACTGGGAAAAGGGCAAGTGCACATACACACTAAAGTTAGGATGAGAAAGCCACAATAACTCGGTGTGCCTAGTGGCAGCAAGGGTTGTATGCTCCCCAGGGAGTTGAGATTGCTAATACGATGTGCAGTTGATATTGACATCCAATGATTTCGAGGGAATAAATACCAGCACCTTGAGCATGCACTAGTGCGTGGATATGTGCGCTATATAAATATCCTATAATAATAATAAAAAAAATAAAATAATAATAAAGTTCCCGAATTATTTTGGTTCCTTCCATCTGGACCCTCATGTAGCGGATCGTTGACATCAGCAGCTGCAGTATGGATGACTGTTTGGTGTTTCAGGTTTGATGTCTAAAGAAGGACCTGAAGACGACCCTGAAGTGATTTCGGCCGTGATCCTGAACGCTGATGGTGTCTACATCGCCTCCATGGTCACACTGATCCTCAGTCTCAGACTTACCGTCAGCGGCTACTACACCACGCGGGATCCTGCAAGTCTCGTCCTGTCCGAGGTGGGGAGCTACATTCAGATAGGAAGTGTTTTGAAAATATATCCCAAGATCCCAAATGGAAGAATTCACTGAATGTTATTACCCAGGGAGCTGTTGCACAAACTGATCTTAGTGCTAAGATTGTCATATGCCTATAATAAAGTATGGGACTAAAGATCATGCTAACGCTAAGATAGCTTTGTGGAATATGGCCCTGGGCCTGGATTTTCGATGCTCTCTTAGCGCTAAGATAGTCGTAAGTTAATGTTAATGTATGGCACTTACGACTATCTTAGCGCTAAGAGGGCTTCGAAAATCCAGGCCCAGGGCCATATTCCACATAGCTATCTTAGCACTAGATGGTGCTATTGTGGAGATGTTGTTGTCAGATTGGCTGTTTGAATCAGCCAGAATTGGGATTTGATACCCTCTGATTACAAGCTGATTAACCAATGAGGATGGAGTCATTTCCAAATTGAAATTAGGTTCAAGAAATGTGTGTATGCTTCAGTATGTCAAAACATAATAACCAACTTTTGCAGAAAGAGTTCATGGATGACGTCCTCAGCTGTGGGGTGATGCTGTTTCTGTCACCGTCTTGGTTGAGTGAAGTGTACAACCAGGTGACCTACAGAAATATCCTGGACACAGGGACACACTCCAGCTGGCAGGACACACAGCTAGTGTGTATGTTGAGAGGTAGGTGTACAATCAGGACACACAGCTAGTGTGTATGTTGAGAGGTAGGTGTACAACCAGGACACACAGTTAGTGTGTATGTTGAGAGGTAGGTGTACAACCAGAACACACAGCTAGTGTGTATGTTGAGAGGTAGGTGTACAACACCCAGAACACACAGTTAGTGTGTATGTTGAGAGGTAGGTGTACAACACCCAGAACACACAGTTAGTGTGTATGTTGAGAGGTAGGTGTACAACCAGGACACACAGCTAGTGTGTATGTTGAGAGGTAGGTGTACAACCAGAACACACAGCTAGTGTGTATGTTGAGCGATAGGTGTACAACACCCAGAACACACAGCTAGTGTGTATGTTGAGAGGCAGATGTACAACAAGAACACACAGCTAGTGTGTATGTTGAGAGGTAGGTGTACAACCAGAACACATAGCTGGTGTGTATGTTGAGCGGAAGGTGTACACCCAGAACACACAGCTAGCGTGTATGTTGAGAGGTAGGTGTACAACACCAGAACACACAGCTAGTGTGTATGTTGAGAGTGTAGGTGTACAACCAGAACACACAGCTAGCGTGTATGTTGAGAGGTAGGTGTACAACAAGAACACACAGCTAGTGTGTACGTTGAGATTGTAGGTGTACAACCAGAACACACAGCTAGTGTGTATGTTGAGATGAAGGTGTATAATCCTGGACACAGGTACACACTCCAGTTGGCAGGACACAGCTAGTGTGTATGTTGAGAGGTAGGTGTACAACCAGGGCACACAGCTAGTGTGTATGTTGAGAGGTAGGTGTACAACCAGGGCACACAGCTAGTGTGTATGTTGAGAGGTAGGTGTACAACCAGAACACACAGCTAGTGTGTATGTTGAGAGGAAGGTGTACAACCAGGGCACACAGCTAGTGTGTATGTTGAGAGGTAGGTGTACAACCAGGGCACACAGCTAGTGTGTATGTTGAGAGGTAGGTGTACAACCAGAACACACAGCTAGTGTGTATGTTGAGAGGAAGGTGTACAACCAGGGCACACAGCTAGTGTGTATGTTGAGAGGTAGGTGTACAACCAGAACACACAGCTAGTGTGTATGTTGAGAGGTAGGTGGACAACCAGGAGACACTATTAGTGGAGATGAGATACAACAGTGCTGGTTATCATTGGGTCAGGCTTGCCCACTTATTTGACACATGTCATCGTATCCCAGTTGTGTCGTCCGATGCTCATGCTGTTGGTCACTGGATTGTCTGGTCCAGACTCGATTTCTTACAGACCGCCGCCATAAAGCAGGAATATTGCTGAGTGCGGCATAAAACTCACTCACTCACACAAGTTTCTAAGTGGTTGTCTGTGTATCGTGTTATGTATCATATTCTCACCTGGACGCTTATCACGCTAACAGCCATGGTACGATTCCTTCCTTGGGTACAGTGAAAAAGTCTGTCCATGTGAATATAGAATTTCTTTACTGAAATGATTTCATCATCTGAAACTTGTGATGTCTTGTTACCAGTATCTAAGTGCTTGTTTTGTCAGCTGTTTATAACCTGTGACTGTTTCAGACATCGATGGTCTGGGCAGCCACGAGATGGGCGGCCAGATGATGAGTAGCTGTCGAGGTGGGGACAACATGCTCAGTGTGGAACACGAACAGGTCAACAGTACCCAGGTCGAGGCAGGTCAGTACATCCCCTACACCATACTATGTAGCAAGGCATGGAGTCATCTCACAGATAACATCCTTACCTTGTTAGCTTCCTGACGGGGTAACCTCTTTGGTCATGTGGACAAGTTCATGTTGAGAAATTAATTCAGGAGTGTCTATCAAATATTATTTATTTATACTGAGTTGTTTCCTAGGGTATCTAATAAATGAAAATCACAGACTCTAATATCATAAGCATAGAACCAGTGCATGTTGTGTCAATTCTCATGATTACAGATGAGCATTAATGCTTAACACAATGGTCATTTGTGATGTCATCAAGCCTGCTTATGACTAGAGTTATCCTCCATTAAGTTTACTTACCGTAATATCTGTGGATATCAAGGAGTGATGATAATGTACACAAGGTAAGATTAAAGAACATTTATGACACTCTAAAACCACAATCTTTTGACACAGGTGTAGGTGAATATGACAGAACTTACCAATAACTTACAATCAGGAAAGTATTCCATCATTTAAATAATAATATGAACCTCAGTATTCGAACTAATATGTATAACAATTGCCTTTTCAACTATGGTGTAATCTTTCTTGTTTCTTTTAAATTTGCCTATCTTTTCTTACATGATTTGGGCCATGCACTACCCTGGATGTCTGGCTCTGCATGTAACAGAAATACAATATTAATATCAAAAAAAAAAGAAAAAAGGATGTCATCACCATTGAGTATCAAATCACGGAGCTGGAATTTGATCAGACACATTCGTTCGGTACCAGTTATCTCACCGGTGTGTAAGATATGTAATGTGGACTGCTTTAACAGTTTTACTACCATGACAGATGTACAGACAGCCAATAAATACCTGAGCCAGGTCCTACCCCTTGTAAGATCCTTGTGTTTGTGTGCAGGCAAGAAGTTGTCTCGCCGCATCCTATCCGTGTGTTGGGAAGGGGTGCTGGACGTGCTGTCGGTGTTGCTCAATGGCAAGAGTTCCTGTGGGGTGTCCAGCAGCCTGGCCCTGATGTTCGGTACGGAGGGGGCCAAGGAGGAGAGCATGAGGGCTCGGGACGCCATCTGTCTCAGTCTCAGTGGACTCCAGAGAGCATCCAAACTCTGCTGCATCCTGGGTAAGTTGTAGCAGGGGATTGTACATATATAGAACGTCAATCAAGTGCATTTAGACCTTATGCATTGAATGAGGAAATGTCATGGTGGAGTTCAAGGACACAGATTTAACTAAATTATTTCAAAAGTTTCATTTGGGACACACTTTAGAGATCACTGTCTTTCATATCCGTCTGCCGCGCGAGCGCAATACGGAATTCAGTGTGCTGTATGGAAGTTTCCATATTGCACAGCTGTATTGATGATGACAAATGGGTATGTAATCAAATGGAACGCAGGGCTTGAAAGCTGTCTTTACATATTATCATAACCAGGTTACACATAGACTACTGAATATCTTTCACATTATTTGACAGATTTGGAGGTATAGTGGATAGAGTGTCTGTCACGGGTGTTGAAATGTCAGTCGGTCAGTCTCTCGTATGCTTCACTGGTATACTGTTTGCAGTACAGGTGCATTGCGATATCCACTACAGTGTCCATGTTGTATCATAGATGCATCATATTTGTTTTCTAAATAAACTGGAACTAATACTCTTGTCTTTTGGAAAGCACTCTGTCATGAATGTGACTTTTAAGTATTTATTGTAATCATTTATCAGCACTTGATTGATTTGAAATATACCTTCACCACACTTATGGTACATGATTGTTGGAGCTGCACAGTGAATATGAAGACTTACTTGAAGATATCCTTACAGGTGGCCATCAAGCTCTGCTTGATCCAAAACTAAGCTTATGTTTATTGTCAGAGGGGTTTTCTTCTTATGAATCTTTCTTTTGCGAGATGTGTTCAATCAATGCGTTTAGTTAACATGTTATGTTAGGTCTCCCAGGCTTTTGGTGATACCTGTTGACTTCCTTTAGACAAAGTTGATCAGTACATATGTTATGAAGTACTGTTTTCACTATTCTGTGTCTACTCCTCTGCAGGTCTACAGGAATTGTGTGGCAGCGCCTTCACCCAGCTGGCAAACACGTCCTGTGTGAAGGAGGACTTGAGAGTAGGACCTAAGCCCAGTGATGCCAAGGTTCCAGGAAAGACCTCTGTGTTGCCAGGGAAACCGAAGCTGGTCCGACTGCATGCAGCTCATGTCCTCAGTATGGATGTTGTCATGACAACTGGGCTGGAGATGGGCAGCCATGCTGCTGATTGCTGGAAACATGTGTTCAGGTTGGTTCACTTTTACTGGGATAGGTTGGTGTTGATTTAATGCGTAGTTCCGAGTTAACCAAGAAATCTGCTCATATATAAATTGTGAAATCAGTAATTAACCTTTGCAAGATCATTGAATATTCAATAATTTATTTTACAAAACACACATTTGTAGGTCTATATTCCAAATGACACTACAATGGATGAAATAAATGCCAGCATCACTAAGAAACAGGCCCGAGAATTCATATTAGTGCAAACTGTCTTTTTAAATGTCTTGAAACAGCACTGTCTCTATTCCTGAATCCAAAATAATGTTAGCAGCTGGGAGATATTTGGTGTTGACAAGTAGAATAGTAACAGTCATGTTTGCAAATGCTTGAATTCACCTCTGATCAGTCTTATTAGGTACAGTGCGCCTGCCAAGTGCATGTACCCAACAAGGGCAGATAACTCTGATCCTAGTACAGTACCATTCTGGGAAGTCCCAGTACTGTTTAACTTAATGTTCAATTATTTGCTGCCACTAACAACTACCACAAGCATATGAGAATATAGGGAGGGTGTGTCTTGAAAATGTCATAGCAGAATAAGAGGGCCAGCAGAAGTTACCACAGCATTTGAGATGAGAGATGAGAGCCAAAAATCTGACCTGAACTGTCTGTGTCTGTAAACTATGTTTGTGACTGTACTTGTGACTGGCTCTCTGTGACTGTACTTGTGACTGGCTACATCTGTGACTACTTGTTACTGGCTGTCTGTGACTACTGTACTTGTGACTGGCTCTCTGTGACTGTACTTGTGACTGGCTACATCTGTGACTACAGGTGCTGTGCACACATCTCTGAACTGGAGCACACCTACTTTAGTGGTGGCAACAACCAGTCCAGCCTCCCAAAGGTGCACCAGGAACAAAACCCTGAACTCAACGCAAGCACAGAGATTGAGTAAGTACAGTAATCTTGCCAGATATAATCTTCTACAAGGCGCTGTCACGATGAATAAATGACCTGTTCATATACAAAGATTATTTTTGAAAGAATCATAAGAAAGAGTAATTCTTGGGAAATAAACTGATAAGTCTTTTATTTATCAGTGTCTTCATATTGTAAAACGCTATTTGAGGTAGGGGTCACCAGTGTATTTGAAATTGAGGATGTATGCTTAGATTAGGAGTGATGTAATGGATGATAAAATTTTAGTGGACTTTTGTTGTGTATGTAATTCACATCTGATAATCGTGACTTTGGAGTAATGTAACATGTAATTTATGGGACCTTTATTGTTTATTATGCCCCCAACTATTTTAGGTTATATAGTTTATACCAAGGAATTCTGTCCGTGCATCCATCTGTCTGAATACATTTGTGTTTAGCCAATAACTTTTAAACCATTTTTCCAAATTCGGGGACCACCTTCCTTGTCAGATGGAGCAGTGCAGTGCAAATTTTGACTGTGGTGTTTTAATTTTTTCCAGAATTACAGAAATGTAAAACATAAACTTTAAAAGCTTTGTCCAACCAGTAACTTATTGGTTGGATTGTTTTCAAATTTGGGGACTTTATTGTTTATTATTCCCTTCTGAGAATCTTTTCTAGTTTGCTTTGTAGATGAGGTGTTTCCTTAAGCAAGTGGCCTGTTTTTAAATGCACCTCCAGCAAATAAGAATACAAAATCCTCACCTAAAGCTTGGTCTGTATCCTCTCCAGGGATCTGAGATTATTAGAAATTGGGAAGCCACCAGGGAGAGTATTGACAGAGGCTGGGAGGCTATCCCTCCATGTTTTGACTTGAGGTTAAGTGCTGTGTTACTAGATGTAAAACAACTAACTGTCACACATCTTTTGGCGTTGTTCATTTCAGGTGTGACCTGTATGCCAGTCCAGTGGCTTCTGTTATACCTGTGGCCCCTCGTATCAACGTGGCAGAGCTCATCCGACAGAGTAGTATAGAGTCAGGTTGGGACAGTGCATTGTCAGGAGGAGGGGTGTTGACTCCTGCTCAGGCATCCAAAGCTTTGTGTGGCTTGTCACAAGAAGTGGACAGGTGAGTAATGAAATTAAGTTGATGTAATTCCTAGTATATAGAACTTTCTCTCAATCATTTCAACAATTTGATGTCAAAATACTATGAGATAAGATCAGCATAATGTTCAAGGATAAGAAGACCTATTTGAAGAATAACCTGTGGAATTATCTGTCTGTCCTGAATGGACGAATTTTTGTAATTTAGTTCTCAAACATTTGCTATTTCTTGTAGCAAAGGTCTTTCAATATCTGTTTATGAGTGAGTGAGTGAGTTTAGTTTTACGCCGCACTCAGCAATATTCCAGGTATATGGCGGCGGTCTGTAAATAATCGAGTCTGGACCAGACAGTCCAGTGATCAACAGCATGAGCATCGATCTGCGCAATTGGGATACGATGACATGTGTCAACCAAGTCAGCGAGCCTGACCACCCCGATCCCGTTAGTCGCCTTTTACGACAAGCATAGTCGCCTTTTATGACAAGAATGGGTTGCTGAAGACCTATTCTACCCCGGATCTTCACAGGTCTATCTGTTTATGAAGGACAGTTAATCGGTGTTGAGGTTGAGAGAAAGTAGTTCTATACATATCACCCAAGCATGTAATACAGTATACTCTATAATATCCTCAGTTATAATGAACTCAAAAGGATCACTAAGTTTTGTTCGTTATGGCTGTAGTTCATTATATGCATTCTGACTGAAATTGTTTAGCAGCTGAGCAGAACAAAAAAAACCAGTTCATCAAAACGATTAGGTGTATGAGAAATGTTTTCTTTGATGTCATAAACTTGAAATGAACCCATTTCAACAATGTAGCCTCACATCCAAACAATGGAACAATACCTGTGCAGTTATCCAATCAGCATAACGCAAAACTGATGATTCTGAGAGACTGGTGATAATAACTTCTGTATCCTAGCCCATGTATGCTTTCTCCTCCCACCAGGATATTTGAGGATGCAGCCGAGAAGCTCAACCTGCAGGCCCTGCTGAGTTTCCTTGCCGAGCTAGGAGAGGCAAGTCGACTTCAGCTGAAGAAACATGCTGGCCCAGACATGGATGGAGGGGTCCCCCGACTCCCCACCAATGCCCTTCATCTTTACAGGCTGCAGGACGTCCTCATGAAGGTCGTCCACAGTTCACGACCTCTTCAGCATCTTGTCAGAGTGTGGAGTGTCATATCACCCTACCTGGTCGATGTGAGTACCTCTAGTTTTTGTGCTGCATTTCTTTTATGCCCCCAACTATTTTAGGTTATATAGTTTATACCAAGGAATTCTGTCCGTGCATCCATCTGTCTGAATACATTTGTGTTTAGCCAATAACTTTTAAACCATTTTTCAAAATTTGGTGACCAACTTCCTTGTCAGATGGAGCAGTGCAGTGCAAATTTTGACTGTGGTGTTTTAATTTTTTCCAGAATTACAGAAATGTAAAATATGAACTTTAAAAAGTTTGTCCAACCAGTAACTTATTGGTTGGATTGTTTTCAAATTTGGGGACTACCTTCCTAGCCTAAACGAGAGGTGAATAGGGATGTCATGTTGTGCCTATCTCATGTATCCATATATACTGTCCACATAAAGAAACTGTGCACACAGAAAATATAAATATAGGCACACAGCGTATTTATACATAAATACATTTGTGAACATAACAAGTATTGGAGACAATCAAACGCTCATGCACGTGCCAGGCAACGTGACGTCATTGACGGTGGCCTAAGGCCTTGCAATGTGTTACTGCACGTGCATCCCGTACAGATGCACACATGTGAAACTCTGAAATTGCTGTCACTGTCGAAAGCTTGATCTTTGGTCATTCAAACGTTCACCAATTCACATGAGAAGTCACATGCACATCATGCCAAGATTAACATGTGCTCAACGTCATGAAGCCATTGGAATGGTTCGAGCAGGAATGAGCCAACAACAGGTGGCAGCACATTTCCAATGCCATCGTAACACGATATCTGCATGGGTCAGGCGTTAACGAAATTAAAGTAGTCGCCGACCACCCACGTTCTGGGCGTTCCCGACGTGACGACGCCAAGACAGGACAGGTGGATTCGGGTGACTCATCTCAGATACAGGTTCCAGACAGCAGTGACCACGCCCCAGACCATTTCCCAGGCCTCCAATGCTCATTTTGTAGCCTCTATACGTCGTTGATGCACTGCTGTGGTCATACCACATTGTGACTTCGTCGTGTGACCCCCTACTCGATTTTGAACTTCTGTGTCATCGTTATGGATATTGTTCACGTTCTTTTGACATTTTCTTGGGGTCCGATACTTCAGCTTATAAAGTGTCTACATCATTTCGTCTTTGCTGTGTTGTATTCCAATTATGAAGGCCTTTTCTATGTGCACAGTTTCTTTATGTGGCTAGTATATATATTGTTATGTTTAAAACATGGTAAGATAGATATGTTAAGGTGTGCCATTGTTGATAGAAATTCTTCTTATTAATATAAACTCGTCACACAGATCGAAGTTCTTGTCACAGAATGGAAATCATTCATGAGGTAAACTTATAAAAGTAAGGCTATGAATAAAAATGTTTTGATACATGATAGCAGAGACCATATACCGGTATATGGTCTCTGACGATAGTATACACAATGAGCAGACCCAAGCTAATGCTTGTCCTTTGTTGCCAGGCAACTGGCAGTCGGGACAGGAGCATATCCAAGATGTCCGTCACCTGCATCCATGACTTCATTGTGGCAATGCTGAGTAACCGCGAGGAGCGGCCACACTTCCACATCAACGAGTTCCTGTGTAAGACGTTTGAGGACATGCTGTGTATGGACCTGTGTGATGGGGATGTACAAGACCAGGTAACCATGGTTACACTACAGATGTGACCACTTGCCCTGTACGATCTTGTTGTTAGTCTGTACATGCTATCTACAGTGGAAACCTGATGAGTAAAATTTCAAGGGTCTTGCCAAAATTGTTTAGTTGTAACAATGAACCACTTATCAGGGCTGGCCTCCAGTTGTCAGTGTATTGTCAACTGCATAATGCCAGCGAGCTGTAAGTAGGACGTTTGTTTAGCTGGAGACTGACACGTGCCTCTCATGTCAGATTATGTGATAATCACTAATTTAGTAATCCGGTCTCTTTTGTTAAGTAATTTACTTCCAGGGACTGTGAGAAGACGTTTAGTTAAGCGGTATCGTTTACTTATCCGAGTTTAGTTAACCGAACTCTAATAGTGATAATTAATGAAGAAATTTGCCAGGACCAAAGAAAAGTGTTTACTTATCCGGTATGTTTAGTTAAGCGGTCTTTACTTAGGCGGTTTCCACTGTATACATGTATGCAGTTTAAAATTCTTGAAAGGCATTCAGAAGCTGCACGAAGATGAATACAAGAACTAGCTCTGAAACATCATTACATGAAGAAGAAAACCAGTTGTTATCCACAAAACATGTCATGTATTCATGTGCAGTTTAGCTTTGTGAAATTTTATCTCATAAACAAAAATAATCGTAAATAATCGTAAATAATTACCCACCAACATTCCAGTTCATACAGAAAGAGCTCACTGAATTCTATAAGTTAACAAAGTATACCTCTGCCATTAACTGTATTAGAGACTATGTCAATGAGGCTTGGTCAAACTGCCATGCTCTATTCTCCTAAATACGCTGCCATGCCAAACCGTTTAAATGCTTAGAATAATAATAAAAAAAATAAAAAAATAAAAATAAGATGGGCGTTTTACTAGGCAGGTTGCCATCAATGACATGTCACATATGGCTATCCTCCTATGTTAAGGACTCATGCCATGATAAACTTAAAGTTTTGCTCAATAAGGCTTAAGTTCATGTATTGATATAGTGTCCTGTGTCAATGAATATTAAGTGTTCTTCATCCACCAATGAATTTCGATTGATGCCAGTATGTTCGCTTGAACTGGATCAAGCAGTGATGACACTGTGTTCTGTTCATTTAGATTGCATGTTCTATTCAATGATGGCAGTGTCTTCTGTTCATCTAGATCCTTTGTTCTATCGATTGATGCCAGTATGATCTATTGAACTGGATCAAAAAGTGATGACACTGTTTTGTTCATCTAATTGTGTGATCTATTCAGTGAAGGCAGTGTGTTCTATTCATCAGCATCGTGTGATCTATTTAATGATAGCAGTTTGTTCTATTCATCTACATCGTGTTCTATTGTATGATGGCAATGTGTTCTATTCATTCCGATTGTGTTCTATTGAATGTTAGTTCTATTCATTCAGATCATGTGATCTATTGAATGATAGCAGTTTGTTCTATTCATCTAGATCGTGTTTTCTGTTGAATGATGGCAAAGTGTTTTATTCATCCCGATTGTGTGTTCTATTGAATGATAGTTCTATTCATCCAGATAGTGTGTTATATTGAATGCTGGCAATGTGTTTTATTCATCCAGATTGTGTTTTCTATTGAATGATGGCAATGTGTTCTATTCATCCAGATAGTGTGTTCTATTGAACAGAGCTCCAGATAAGATTAAGCTGAGGTGGGTACTGTTCCCACTGTAATTTTTTGGAGTGGGTATTATGAATGTTGAGTGGGTATTTCATTTTCCGTTACCCACTGCTTTCAAATATGTGCGTATTTCAGTCATTTTACTCACCTAAGTATTACGTCATTGAGTAAGTTTACTAAGCAGGTATGTTCTGCCTTATGATTTCATAAATAATCACTCATCCTATACTAACAATACAACTTGATAGCAATGGATGTCCTTTTATTACGCAAGCGATTTTTATAAATATTTTCCCTACGCATTTGTTTTTAACCTTTTGTGTACTTTGTACGCAACAATTATATTTTAATGCGTAATTGGAAATTTTCTATGCGTATTTTACCCAAATACGCAGCTGATCTGGGTCTCTGATTGAACGAGGGCAGTGTGTTCTATTCATCCAGATCGTGTGTTCTATTGAACGAGGGCAGTGTGTTCTATTCATGTAGATCGTGTGTTCTATTGAACGAGGGCAGTGTGTTCTATTCATCCCAATTGTGTGTTCTATTGAATAATGGCAATGTGTTCTATTCATCTAGATCTTGTGATCTTATTGAATGATGGCAGTATGTTCTATTCATCTAGATTGTGTGTTCTATTGAATGATGCCAATGTGTTCTATTCATCTAGATATTGTGATCTATTGAATGATGGCAGTATGTTCTATTCATCTAGATCGTGTGTTCTATTGTATGTTGGCAATGTGTTCTATTCATGTAGATCGTGTGTTCTATTGAATGATGGCAATGTGTTCTATTCATCTAGATCTTGTGATCTATTGAATGATGGCAGTATGTTCTATTCATCTAGATTGTGTGTTCTATTGAATAATGGCAATGTGTTCTATTCATCTAGATCGTGTGTTCTATCTGTGAACTGGTGGAGGCCTGCACAGCACAGATCCAGTCAGGGTGGCGGCCCTTGTTTGGAGCTCTCCGTTCAGTGAAGATAGAATACACAGCTAACGAGGAAGTGAACGAGGCCAGACAGAGACAGAGCCATGTGGCAGCCGTGCTCGATGTGTTTGAGGTGTATCTCAACACGGACAATGTGCTGGTGTTTGCCAATGCTACAGTCGACTGTATTCTCTGTCTTCTGAAATATGTCAATGGCCCAGGTGAGATGACTTCATATATGCAGGGATGAGGGGTTAAAAAATCTTAAACTCATGTTCGAAGGGTTGAGGGATTAAAAAATCCTACATGTTCGCAGGAGTGAGGGGTTAAAAAGTGTTCAACTCATGTTTGCAGAGATGAGCATTTAAGAAATCTTTAACTCAAAGGTTTGAGGTTTAAAAAATCTTAAACACATGTTTGCAGGGTGAAGGTTTAAACAATCTTAAACACATGTTCACAGGGTTGAGGATTAAAAAAAATCTTAAACTCAAGTTCACAGAATTGAGGGTGTAAAAAATCTTAACCTCATGTATAGGGGAGAGGGTTTAAAAAAATCACATTAAAACCAAATCATTTACTCTGATTCTATGCGTGCATGGGAAGGTCAATAGGACATCAATAGAGCTCTTGTCAGGTCAATCTAATGAACGTGTATTTTCAGGCATGTTTGAGGAAATGAGTGACGATGGGTCTGACTCGGGCAGTGACATGGGTCTGGGTGGCCCCACAGGGGAGAACTTGTGTATCCCCGCGCTACAGTATCTGCGCCGGTGTTGCCAGATCCTGGCCTCCATGTGGAAGATGCCTGCGTGCCCCAACTTCAAAGGTGCTCAGAGGTGAGAAGGATGTAGTCAAGCGAGGGTTAGGTGTAAAACCGTATTCAGTTATAGTACAGGGTATGTTTGTTTGTCGTTTAATGACGTACTCAGCAATATTCTAGCTGTATGGCAGTGGTTTGTAAATAATCCAATCTGGACCAGACAATCCAGTGATCAACATCATGAGCATTGGTCTACGCAGTTTAGATACGATGACATGTGTCAAGCTAGTCAGCGGTCCTGACCACCTGATCCCGTCAGTCGCCTCTTATGACAAGCATGGGTTGCTGCAGACCAACCCTAACCCGGATCTTCACAGGTTATAGTACAGCATTGTAGTACAGGTTATAGTACAGCATTGTTTGTGTGATGTGGGAAATAAAGTGCATGTCATAGATCTTTACTTCTTTTTTGTGACATCTCTCCGAGAACAAGTAAAATGATATATCTGTACAAAATAAGTATCAAGGGGATTCTGGGTTGAATTGGTCCTCTGCAGCCTGTGCTTGTCATTGGAAGTGACATTATGTATCAGGTGGTCAGGCTTGATTGCTTGGTTGCATACGTCATCTTACCCTAACAGTATGTATTGTTGCTCGTAATATCAATCACTGGTTTGTTGGTTGAGACTTGATTATTATTGTCGGCTGAGTGTTGTGTTACTCAACATTCATGTAAAAAGCATAATGACCGCACAGGAATGGTGGTAATATTGAATTCTTTTTAATAATAAAACCCCAAAAAATAATTGTTTAAAAAGTCTTTATTGTATTAAGAAAACTGAATTGTTCCCAGGATACAGTTGGGCTCCACTGTCCGACTCGTCGACCCGGTAATCCCCAACATGAACTTTGAGTCCTTCTCCAAGAGCTTCACAGAGTCAGATGAAACTAAAACAGGACACGTCTTCCAGAAAGAAAACTCACAAGATGATGATAAGCCAAAAGGATTTCACATATCTGAACTGTCGGACCCAGTGTTTGACTCACAAAGCATAACGTCAGCCGATTCAGGGATGCTAGATGCTCTCTCTCCAGAAACACACCAGTCTCAGTCAGATCCCGCTTTGGTTGACTCAGGCATTAAGTTGACGTCTGCTGACACAAAATGGCGGCCAGTGCCTCTGGAGGAGCTGGATAATCCCTCTCGAATCCTGCATGTGTGGTTTCTCTTGCTTGATGGTCTGGCCACTTCCATATCCAGCTGCCCGAAGACCTTCCAGCCGCAGACCATGGAGATGCTGTTCGAGCTGCTCAGGTCAGCTGCTGATGTTCCAGGTAGGGACTCTGGTATTTTCAAAAATCCAAAAACTTTAGAGTTCAAAAACATCATTTTAGATATTGGTATCATTATGTGGACTATTAATAGTTGATGTAACTAGATTGAACGGTATTTTATGAGATTTGGGCATCATAATATGGTCTTTAGCTGCAGAATGGTTCTGGAATATCCACTCCATTTAGTGAACTGGGACACGTTTAAGACAAATGACTACTGTTGGTTGTAATAATAATGATTGAGGTAAATAGCTAAAGTTTGATTTGTGTCCGTTGTTTCAGGTCCTCGGTTTGCTGTTTACAACATCAACCATCTGCTCTTGCCCATGCTGCAGTCATGGCTCCGAAGAGGCTCTCGTATCCATGGTTACTGGGAAATCGGAGCAGTGAACTTCAAACAGTGTTGTGGAAACATGTCGGACCTAGTAGTGGAATATCTGTCTAAATTCATAGGCAAGTCATAGTTGTTGCTGAAATTAGGTTTCAAACAGGAATCGCCTTCTTTTCAGTATTTTCTGAGTTTGTTTTCGGTTTGTTGGTTGTGAATATGACTAAATGCCTCAATGTAACTATATGTGATTGTGTGTGTTTGGTAATGTATATTGTGACTATAAGGCTGTGTGTAGTTGCATGTAACTGTATCTGAATACTGTGGTTTGTGATTATATATGGCTTTTTGTGACTACCGGTATGTGACTGTGTATGAGTGAGTGAGTGAGATTGTTTAACTTTACACTACTTTTTGCAATATTCCAGCAATATCATGGTGAGGGACACCCGAAATGGGCTTAACACATTGTACCCATGTGGGGAATCGAAACCGTACTTCGGCGTGATGAGCAAACGCTTTAACCACTAGACTACCCCACCGCCTATGACTGTATGAGGCTATATGACTATATATGTATATAACTGTAACTGTATATGAATATGTAAATGACTGTATGTGACTCTATATTTGTAAATGTCTGACTGTATGTGACTGAGACTTTGATGGTATGCATACAGACTATATTAAGCTGTTGGTAACTGTGACTATATGTACATATATGACTACGTGACGTGTGTGACTGTGTATGACTGTATGTGACTATATGTATATATGACTAACAAATGTATATATGTATATAGTCAGCCAAATCAATTCTGAAACTTCAAAGAATTCAGAACTCAGTGGCCCGATGTATCTCCCGTTCTTCCCACTATGACCATATCTCTCCTGAGCTTCAGTCACTTCACTGGCTTCCCATCTCTGCAAGAATCACCTTCAAACTCCTCGCCCTCACTCACGACTGTCTCTACAATAAAAACTTTCCATCCTATCGCAAAGAACTTATCTCCCCTTACTCACCTCAGCGGAAGCTCAGATCCTCCAGTGACTCTCTCTTGACTCAACCAAAATCACTAAATGGACTTTTCGAACGCGCCTTCTCTTTCGTCAGCCCACAACTCTGGAATTCGCTTCCCCAAAACCCCAGAAATACAACCACTAAAGACACCTTTAAATCTCAGCTGAAGACTCACCTATTTCTGTCTGTGTGCCAGTAGATAATCATTCTCTGTTTTATGTATATAAGTTCAGGTTTATCACTGTATTAGCGCCACTGAGCATCTGTAAGGTTGATATTAGGCGCTTTACAAATGTATTATTGTTAAAATGTATTATTATTATGACTGGTGCAGGTCGGGAGGAGGAGCACCCTCACCTGGAGTTCATGCTGAAGCAGACCCTGGACGTCCTTACGGAGTGTGCTGCCCAGCCCGTGGAGAACATCTCCCGCCTTGGGTGCTCCTGTCTCAGGTGAGTCACGATATTCGGGCTGTATCCAGGCACACTCTGGACGTCCTTACGGAGTGTGCTGCCCAGCCCGTAGAGAACATCTCCCGCCTTGGGTGCTCCTGTCTCAGGTGAGTCACGATATTCGGCTGTATCCAGGCACACTCTGGACGTCCTTACGGAGTGTGCTGCCCAGCCCGTGGAGAACATCTCCCGCCTTGGGTGCTCCTGTCTCAGGTGAGTCACGATATTCCGGCTGTATCCAGGCACACTCTGGACGTCCCTACGGAGTGTGCTGCCCAGCCCGTGGAGAACATCTCCCGCCTTGGGTGCTCCTGTCTCAGGTGAGTCACGATATTCCGGCTGTATCCAGGCACACTCTGGACGTCCTTACGGAGTGTGCTGCCCAGCCCGTGGAGAACATCTCCCGCCTTGGGTGCTCCTGTCTCAGGTGAGTCACGATATTCCGGCTGTATCCAGGCACACTCTGGGCGCCCTGTGCTGCCCAGCCCGGGAGAACATCTCCCGCCTTGTGCTGCTCAGCCCTGTGGAGAACATCTCCCAGCCCGTGAGAACATCTCCCCGCCTTGGGTGCTCCTGTCTCAGGTGAGTCACGATATTCGGCTGTATCCAGGCACACTCTGGACGCCCCACGGAGTGTGCTGCTCAGCCCGTGGAGAACATTCTCCTTGGCCTTTGGTGCTCCTGTCTCAGGTGAGTCACGATATTCGGGCTGTATCCAGGCACACTCTGGACGTCCTTATGGAGTGTGCTGCTCAGCCCGTGGAGAACATCTCCCGCCTTGGGTGCTCCTGTCTCAGGTGAGTCACGATATTCGGCTGTATCCAGGCACACTCTGGGCGCCCTTACGGAGGTGCTGCTCAGCCCGTGGAGAACATCTCCCGCCTTTGGGTGCTCCTGTGTCAGGTGAGTCACGATATTCGGGCTGTATCCAGGCACACTCTGGACGTCCTTACGGAGTGTGCTGCTCAGCCCGTGGAGAACATCTCCCGCCTTGGGTGCTCCTGTCTCAGGTGAGTCACGATATTCGGGCTGTATCCAGGCACACTCTGGACGTCCTTACGGAGTGTGCTGCTCAGCCCGTGGAGAACATCTCCCGCCTTGGGTGCTCCTGTCTCAGGTGAGTCACGATATTCGGGCTGTATCCAGGCACACTCTGGACGTCCTTACGGAGTGTGCTGCTCAGCCCGTGGAGAACATCTCCCGCCTTGGGTGCTCCTGTCTCAGGTGAGTCACGATATTCGGGCTGTATCCAGGCACACTCTGGACGTCCTTACGGAGTGTGCTGCTCAGCCCGTGGAGAACATCTCCCGCCTTGGGTGCTCCTGTCTCAGGTGAGTCACGATATTCGGGCTGTATCCAGGCACACTCTGGACGTCCTTACGGAGTGTGCTGCTCAGCCCGTGGAGAACATCTCCCGCCTTGGGTGCTCCTGTGTCAGGTGAGTCACGATATTCGGGCTGTATCCGGCGACACTCTGGACGTCCTTACGGAGTCACTGGAAAAAGTCGTTTAAGAAACATGTTGTAATGTGTACAAGTTGACGTCTTTAATGGAGGCAGGGAAAGGGGTTGGGGTTCACAACGGTATTAGGAACAGCACAAACTTGCCCATGCTACACAATGGTACAGGGATTGACAGCATAAGAGGGGTCATCTCATGATAATTTTAGTCACAATCTGACTCATGTCACTTGTTGTTGGGATTGGTTGTGTCACTGCTGATGGTGGGCCTGTAGCTTGCAAAGTCCACATGTATATTCCTGGCTTATAGTTCTCATTTGGAGACAGAGGGCCTGCAGTTAAGGTGAGTGAGTTTAGTTTTACGCTCTACTCAGCAATATTCCAGCTATATGGTGACGGTCTGTAAATAATTGAGTCTGGACCAGACAATCCACTGATCAACACAGTTAATGTAATATAAGGGCAATTAAAAGTTTGCTATTTTAAAGGTTTTGCTACGTGTTTTCATTTTAAGGACTGATTTAAGACAAGGAGTGTTTGTTTTCCATTGCTTCTTGTGAGCTTTACCATGTGGTGAAGACCTACATAACTTCAGGCTTCCTCCCACACTAACACGCTATGATGTGACTGACATACAGTGTGGGATCAAACTCAACTCACTCACTCTATGAATGTTGCAGGCATGTGATGTTGAGCGGGGGCCCTCTGCTGACGGAGGAGATGTGGCAGATGAGTGCAGCAGCCCTACAGAGGGCGTTGGACGTGACCACCTTCAACATCCGACAACTCATGGTGCTCTTCCACGCCAACTCCGAAAACTTCTACGGCGACATCGGCCAGGTGAAGGTCGCCACCAGAAAGGACTGTACGAAGATGGAATGTTTCCGACTCAAACAGCTGGCTCAGCAGGTAGGGAGAAGTTGTCATTCTGATGTGCAATAACCCTCTTGGGTATAATTGATGAATCCCATTGTTGAAGTCACCTGAAATTACCATTAAACTGCAGTCCCTCTGTAACTGTTGTTTAGTCTGTGTGAGCAGGTGCTTGTATGTATCTTGGCACTCCACTGTCCATGTTTCAGGTGTTCCTGTTGGAGAGCCAGATGTGCCAGATGCCGCAGATACAGTTTGACATGGAGGAGGACCAGTCATATGTCTTCCTGCTGTACCCACCTAACCATAAGGACAGCCTGAACCCTGACCACATCTCTACCAGGTAACACCCAGTACCCTGACCACATCTCCACCAGGTAACACCCAGTACCCTGACCACATCTCTACCAGGTAACACCCAGTACCCTGACCACATCTCTACCAGGTAACACCCAGTACCCTGACCACATCTCCAGTACCAGGTAACACCCAGGTAACACCCAGTACCCTGACCACCCTGATCTCCCAGGTAACACCCAGTACCCTGACCACACATCTCCACCAGGTAACACCCAGTACCCTGACCACATCTCCAGTACCCTGACCACATCAGGTATCCCTGACCACATCTCAGTACCCTGACCAGTACCCTGACCTCATATCCACAAGTAATTTCAGATAATAGGTAGGCAGCAGGACAAGCTGAGTACATCAGAGATGTTCATGGGGTTCACAGATTGCATAGAAATCATGAACTCACATCTCTATTCCAAAGTGTTACCCAAGACATGGAGGTGATGGTAGCACTGTGGACGACTACCACAGATGTAAACAATTTCTGCTGTTTAATAGTGTTAATGTTGAAACCAAGTCTTTGCGACTTGATCTGTGATTGCAGAGGAATTGATTCCTTGTATTGAAACGTTCTCAGTAATACCTGTAGGTTCTGGAAGAGAATAATTTGACAGGTAGCGACCACAGATGTTCCATTCTATAACTAGTGTGTTGAGAGCGAGAGTATATTTCCAGAGTGCCGTTCCGGAACGTGGTAGTGGGTCTTCTGTCCCACCAGCTGTTGTTGCAGACCGTCGGCTACCTGCTGCTAGAGGGCACTGAAGGCCGGTCAGCAGAAAACAGAAAGGGCTCTGGCCTTACAGGTACCCCTCAAGTTTCTCAAGTTTTTAATCCTAGAACCAGTCCTTTTGTGTATAATTTGTCATTGGTGTATCTTGACACAAATATAATTTGAGTGTGTAAATGACGAATGTTAAACATAAACCTACAGTATTTTTTGTTTAGAGGTTTCAAATGTAGTTTGATCCCATCAAATGTATCGAAACATGTTCAGGTTTCAAGGTTTTCAAATCAGTGTCAAGCTGTGTTGACATCAGTGTTTTTCTAAATGCAATTTCATTATCACGATTCATGGGATTCTTTTCTGTAAATACATTGCCAACCTGTGAAGATCCGGGTTAGAATTGATCTTCAGTAACCCATACCTGTTGTAAGAGGCGACTAACCGGATCGGTTGGTCAGGGTCGCCGCCTTGGTTGACACATGTAACACCCATGCTGTTGATCACTGGATTGTCTGGTCCAGACTCGATTATTTACAGACCGTCCCCATATGGCTGGGATATTGCGGAGTGCGGCGTAAACCTAAACTCACTCACTCGTTAATTACATTGCCACACTGAAGAGCAACTTTCACCTTGTTTATTAATATCAGTATTTGATATTGCCTTCTCGTCATGTTTGAATGTTAAGGAAGTGTTTAAGGAATAGTTTCTTTGTGGGGTTGCCATCATCAGTTGAATGTAGATAGGTATATCACTGGTGGACCAGAGCAGTGAAGGTCCGGGTTAGAATGAACCTTCAGTAACCCATGCTTGTCGTAAGAGGCGACTAACGGGATCGGGTGGTCAGGCTTGCTGGCTTGGTTGACACGTGTCATCAGTTCCCAATTGCGCAGATTGATGCTCATGCTGTTGATCACTGGATTGTGTGGTCCAGACTCGATTATTTACAGACCGCCGCCATATAGCTGGAATAATGCTGAGTGCGACGTAAAACTAAACTCACTCACTCACTCACTGGTGGACCAATCAGAAGGCAACATTCTAAATTGTTTAGGCGGAACTGATTGTCATTGTTTTGTGACCAGGTCTAATCTCCTGCATGTCGACCCGCAATGTCCTCCAGTTCTTGGATATGCTGTACAGCTCCTACAAGCTGGCCTGTGACTTTGACACTCGGCCCGGCCTCAAGTTCCTCATCCAGAAGGTGGCAGGGTTGGAGGTGGCTGCCAACCTGTACAAGCAGGCCGGGTCGAGCATCATCTTCTACATCCATTCCCTCCTGGAGATCTGTGCCCATCTCAACAGTCTCACCCTAGAGAGGACTCGCTCCTTCCTGGACGAGGTGCTCAAACAGGGTAGCCTTGACAATGGGGAGATTGACATGAAGATCAAAAGCAGGAGCTCTGTGGAACCGATTGATGCCAACCCGGCAGCTTTTATCCAGTTGCTGCAGAATACTTGTGACGAGTTGTGTCAGACCTATGTGGACATCCTGCTGGACAAGGACGGGTTGTCCTGCTTCGACCGCATGGCTGACCAGTCGTTGTTCTTCCTGATTGCCCAGCCCGATGACCTCAATGAACCAACCGAACGGAAGACGTCCGAGGAGGAAACAAAAACTGAAGTGACTTCGGATGGATTTGTCACCATGACAACAGTTGGTGTGGAGACACAGGAAGGTTAGTGTTATTATTTATATAGAGATTTCAGTTTGTGTTTGTGTTGGATAAGTCCAAAAATACTCATTGTTCCTGTTACATGTAGATTGAAGTGGTGGTCCGATTAATTGAAATAATCGAAGATTGGTCGCAATGACTAAACGACCAAGCAATCGATCATGTTTTCTCATAATCGAACACAAACAATTTTGGATCACTGGTTTGCATTAACAACTATTTTCACAAGGTTGGTTTTGTCTGTTACTTTTTACAAGCACTACAAGCTCATTCCTTGTCCTGATTGAATTATCCATGAAATTTAGGTTCATACCATACTAGTCATCCTTGAAGATGTGAAATTTGTAAATGCATTTTGTGCAATTTGCAAAAAGAACAACCGAAAGAACTACACGTTTTTTCTATATTTTTGTGCATTAACAGACATAACCAGGAGAATTTGATAAATGGCGCTAACCTATTATTTTCGATGACTGATCGATTGTAATGAACCAGTTATCAATTGTGAGATGTTTACCAATCCCAACACTAGTTGATTCCAAGTTGAGTGAATGAGGTTAGTTTTATATTTAGCAATATTCCAGCAATATCACATTGAGTGAGACCAGAAATAAGCTTCACACATTGTGCCCATGTGGGGAATATAACCCGGGTCTTCAATGCAATGATGGCAGCTTTAAATACTGGGCTACCCCACCGGCCCTTCCAAAGTTGAAACTTTCAGGTTAACGGGGAATCAGTCCATAAAAGAACTAAGTGTAATACCAACAAACAACAAAGCTACGTGATGTAATTAACAATTGTATTCGGAAATCACTAAGTTCACAAATCAATACAAGGTATCATTATGACAGAACAAAATAAAGTGGGAGTACAGATTCAAGCAGTATCCCGGTGCCAGGGGGTTTTCGACGATGTAAGACAAAAACGTAATTTTTATCTGTGATATCATTTAAAGTTTTTATTTTACTAACCTCGAGTGATAAAGGATATATTCATCTATTTCACACAAAAATATCAAGTGTTTCCTACAAAAATAGCGTTGATGACATCATATCGGCGAAACAGTGGCCGCTTGTAACATCCGGGTATTTTGTATGGGTTTTCGACGATGAGCCATACTTTTTGCTCCGCACTGCGAGGGAGTGTTGTGATCACGTGGCTTCCTATTTATAAATTGCCTGTCACCAGCAGACGACTGATCTTACTGAATTTTCGCTTGCTATTTTTTGTTATAAAGGCAACTGATTTTGCATCAAAAGTGGTATTAACGATCTCGGGTAAATAATATTTATGTTTGTTTGCTTTTTATATAACTTTACTTCCCGATTTCCATTGTCAATAAAACTTCTCACGTCAGCGACTGGGCATCCGCCCTACCAGTGAAACTTTTTGTGCACTCCGATCGCACACGTACTCACCCGATATAGCGCAAGCAATGCAATCGTCAAATTCAACTCGTGTTGGGATATATTACAAAAGCAGTGATTATAGCAACAGGGGTGTAAATAACTTTAAAATTGATAGTGTACCCCGGTATAGTGGCACATGTAAAGTCACTTGCCCTGATATTTTTTCCAATTTACCGACCGTTTTCTTGCTGATTTTTTAAATAAACAACATAATTAAAATTGGAAAGTCAACTGGACACCGGTACAGTGTGATATACAAATCTGCTTGCCCGACAGAAAAAAACACTGGACTCGGATGTCGGGCAATGGGTTATTTCCACCCCTGAGCAATAAAGACAGTGATGGTTATGTTCACCTTCAGCAACATTAATCCATCTTGCTGAAGCAGAGTTCATCACACACGACGCTGTCTTCATGTAACTTGAGGAGCGGTGGGGTAACCTAGTGGTTACAGTGTTAGCTCGTCACGCTGAAGACCTGGGTTCGACTCCCCACATGGGCACAATGTGTGAAGCCCATTTCTGGTGTCCCCGCCACATTGATAGTACTGGAATATTGCTAAAGGTGACGTAAAACCCAACTCACTCACTCTTCCAAGGTATATTATATAAACATGCAATTAAATTCCAAAACAATATGTCCATTAATACCATGGCAACACATGACTCGTGTAACTTGAGATGTGAGGTGAGAGGCAAGAGTTAGCTCCCCTTATATAGCCCCTCCATACTCCAGATGGTTCTCCAACAACCTATATGGTTGTAGTACCCTGTATTAGCTTCTAGATTTTTCTGTGTAAATCTAGTATATGTCTAAGCACAGATGACCCTCACTGACATCCACCTTCCGTAAAACTTTCTGAATTTCAGAATCCCAGGTGGAGACCTGCCCAGTGGATGCCACGACACCTCCCCCGTTTGAGGAGCGAGCCGACACCCCATCCCCGGTACACACCCGCAGCAAGCGGGAACTGAGGGAGGAGCACGAGAGCAAGGTGTACACGGTGGCCACGGACAAGTTCATCCAGTCCCTCATGTCCCAGTACAAGCGACGCAAGCAGCAGCACTCCATGCCATCCTTCGTCAAGTTCACCAAGAGGAAGAAGGACCTGTCCAAGCTCGGGAGGAAGGAAGCAGTGGATGAAGAGATTGACAAGCAGCAGAAAAACTCAATATTAAAGGTGAGGGTTTTTAACTGAGTTTGAAATATCTAATAGTCTATAATATACTGACGAAAACAAGGGAACATCACTTCAACACAGTGTTCCTCTATTTATTCTAAGATCCTCACCCACAGTGCAATACAAAGCTTGTGAAACTTGGAAAAGAATAAAGGAACACTTGTACTTTCATGTGTTCCCTTATTTGTTTCCCTCAGTATATAATAATGGGACACAAACAGAGAGAACGACATAAACAGATACACAGAGACATACACACACACACAGACATAGACATAGACCTTCAGACAGACACATATATACACACACATACACAGACCTTCAGACAGACACATATACACACACACACATAGACAGACCTTCAGACAGACACATATACACACACACATAGACAGACCTTCAGACAGACACATACACACAGAGACATAGACCTTCAGGCAGACACATATATACACACACACACACATAGACAGACCTTCAGAGACATTTATACACACAGACATAGACAGACCTTCAGACAGACACATATACACACACACACATAGACAGACCTTCAGAGACATTTATACACACAGACATAAACAGACCTTCATACTGACAAATATACACACAGACACAGACCTTCAGACAGACACATATACACACAGACATAGACAGACCTTCACATATACACACAGACATAGACAGACCTTCAGACAAACACATATACACACACAGACATAGACAGACCTTCAGAGACATTTATACACACAGACATAGACAGACCTTCAGACAGACACATATACACACATACACAGACCTTCAGACAGACACATATACACACAGACATAGACAGACCTTCAGACAGACACATACACACACATACAGACATAGACCTTCAGGCAGACACATATACACACACACATAGACAGACCATCAGAGACATTTATACACACAGACATAGACAGACCTTCATACCGACACATATACACACATACACAGACCTTCAGACAGACACATATACACATAGACATAGACAGACCTTCAGACAGACACATACACATACAGACATAGACCTTCAGGCAGACACATATACACACACACATAGACAGACCATCAGAGACACATATACACACAGACATAGACAGACCTTCAGACAGACAGACCTTCAGACATACACACACACATACAGACATAGACCTTCAGGCAGACACATATACACACACACACATAGACAGACTTTCAGACCGACACATATACACAGAGACATAGACAGACCTTCAGAGACACATATACACACAGACATAGACAGACCATATCAGACATAGACACATCTTCAGACAGACACATACACATAGACATGACAGACCTTCAGACAGACACATATACACACAGACATAGACAGACCTTCAGACAGACACATATACAGACATACAGGCACACACACACACACATAGACAGACCTTCAGAGACATTTATACACACAGACATAGACAGACCTTCAGACAGACACATATACACACACACATAGACAGACCTTCAGACAGACACATATACAGACACACAGACCTTCACAGACACATATATATACACACACACATAGACAGACCATCACATTTATAGACACACAGAGACACACATTTCATACACACAGACATAGACAGACCTTCAGACACATTTATACACACACACACAGACAGACCTTCAGACAGACACATATACACACAGACATAGACAGACCTTCAGACAGACACATACACACACATTTATAGACCTTCAGGCAGACACATATACACACACAGACCTTCAGACAGACCTTCAGAGACACATTTATACACACACACACATAGACAGACCTTCAGACAGACACATATACATAGACACAAGACATAGACAGACCTTCAGAGACACATATACACACAGACACATATACACACACACATAGACAGACTTTCAGACAGACACATATACACAGAGACATAGACAGACCTTGAGACCAACATATATACACACAGACATAGACAGACCTTCAGACAGACACATATATACACACAGACATAGACAGACCTTCAGAGACACATATACACACAGACATAGACAGACCTTCAGAGACACATATACACACAGACATAGACAGACCTTCAGAGACACATATACACACAGACATAGACAGACCTTCAGAGACGACACACATATACACACAGACATAGACAGACCTTCAGACCAACACATACACACACACACAGACAGACCTTCAGACCTTCAGAGACACATATACACACAGACATAGACAGACCTTCAGAGACACATATACACACAGACATAGACAGACCTTCAGAGACACATATACACACAGACATAGACAGACCTTCAGAGACACATATACACACAGACATAGACAGACCTTCAGACATACACATACACACACACAGAGAGAGAGAGAGAGAGAGAGAGAGACCAACACATATACACACAGACATAGACAGACCTTCAGACAGACACATATACACAGAGACATAGACAGACCTTCAGAGACACATACACACAGACATAGACAGACCTTCAGAGACACATATACACACAGACATAGACAGACCTTCAGAGACACATATACACACAGACATAGACAGACCTTCAGAGACACATATATACACACAGACATAGACAGACTTTCAGACAGACACATACACACAGACATAGACCTTCAGGCAGACACACTATAAACACACACTTATAGACAGACCTTCAGAGACATTTATACACACAGACATAGACAGACCTTCAGACAGACACATATCCACACACACATAGACAGACCTTCAGAGAGACACATATACACTCAGACATAGACAGACACATACACACACACACACACACACACACACACACACACACACACACACACACACACACAGACAGACCTTCAGACAGACACATATGCACACAAACTCAACACAGACAGAATGACATACACAGATGTAAACAGTTTGGCTTTGTTGTTTAATGCTGCACATTTAGCAATATTCTAGCTATAGCAGGAGATGCACAGAGTCATAGACAAACCTACACACATGCACGGACAGGCACAGAGACAGACACATGCTCACACACATACGACACAGACAGAATGACACAGATACAGAGAAAGACAGACACAGACACATGTACAAGCACACACATACACACAAAATACAATGTCATTTGCATATTTGCTGCCAGGTATTGTATCAGCTTTTAACACCAGACAGTGCAGCAGCCAGATTCTCTAACAAGTAACAATTTGTCTGTTCCAGGACAGTGAGGCACACGTGATGTCGTGGTCTGAGATGCTGTGCACTATCCTCCGTCTGTTCCTCCAGCTTCCGCAGCCCCAGTTCCGTGCCCTGCTCCCCGCAGTCTTCAACTGTGTCAACCAGCTCATATGTCACGCTGACGACCCCAAGCTGAAAGAAACCTTGGCAGACTGGTTCTACAGACTCGGGAGCATGTATGGCTTCTCACTGGAGAAACCTGTTGACTTGAAGCCGAAAGATTCGGAGCCAGCACAGAGTGATGTCAGCACGTGCTAGCAGGGAGACTATTTTTGAAGATTTGGTTGTATTCATCAATTGTGATATCATTTTAATTGTGATAAGATTAACATGCCACACAAAACATGCTGGTAGCCGGGAAATGGTTTAAAATGATGAAGCTGGTTTGGGGTTGCAGGCTTAAAGGCTTATATGATAATAATGGATTTCTATGGCACCTGGTATCAATGGAGCAGCACAAAGTGTAGGAGGGATAGGCTTCAGGGAAGAGATAGGCTTTTAGCCGTCTGTGGAAGTCTTATGATGAAATAGTACTTTTTCTGTTAATTCCTTTGTGATTTTAGTCTTAAAGGACATGTGAGCTCTAATGTTTAGTTTGGGGATGGGGAATATCCATTTTAAGATTGACTGAGACTTTGCATCAGTTTACAAGATGTATTTTTGAAGGTTACATATGTCTTGCATATTTTATCAGTCATCTTTATCGTTGGTCTCCTGTCAAGGAATTGTATTCATGATTTCCTTTGAAGTGTTTGGAAATACGACAGTCGTTTCAGACATTTTACTTTTAGATTGGAAAATGTCAATATTGGGATACCAGATTTGTTGAGTAATCCAGAATCCCAGCTTCTAGGTAATTACTGGAGCGACACAGATGGAAAGCATCTGTAACCAAAGAGAATCTGGAGATGTGGTGATGTGGATTTATTTAATGCAACCTCTGTGTCTGGGTTCCTGTTCTATGGGGGGCAGTGAGGCAGCCTAGTGGTTAAAGCGTTCGCTCGTCACGCCGAAGACCCGGGTTCGATTCCCCACATGGGTACAATGTGTGAAGCCTATTTCTGGTGTCCCCCGCCGTGATATTGCTGGAATATTGCTAAAAGCGGCGTAAAACCATACCCACGCACTCACTCCTGTTCTATGGAAATGTTGAAATTTTGTTGGAAGATCAAATAATCATATTTCTATGCCAAATGTTTGTATTGTGATTCTACCAGCAGAAAGTGAAGGGTTGCTTGAACTACTAATAGCATGAATGTTATTGACAACATTTCCTGGTGTGGACTGTTGCTCGTGCTTTCAATCACGGAATTGTCGGAGCTCTTATTCACAGGCTTGAGTGATATTGTTGGAATCTTGCTGACCGTGGCATTAGCAGCTTTCACTGATTATAGAACATGTTACAGGGTACATGATTCCTGCTTAGAATTGGAACCTATGCTGATACAAACAGGTAGAGAATTGGATCCCGTGGTCAGGCTTGGTGATGGCCAGATCAGTCTTTGTTCGTAATATCAATCACATGATTGTCAGGTTGCGACTCAATAATTTACAGACTGCTGTCATATAGCTGGAATATTGCTGAGTTCATATATACTACCCATCAAAAGTTTAGACTCACTTAAAGCACTCACTATATGTTATGCATATATGTGAAGTTACATCAAAGATGAATTTCTCCCCTAACTTTGGGGAACCAACTGCAAACTTTATGCAGATGAATTGCACGAGGATCATGCATTAAATTGCTTAAAAGCATGTGCAAATATCGTGCATGTGAACAGCTGTGTTGTGTAAATTTTGTTATAAATTCGCCAATTTTCACTCAGTTTCAACATTTTTTTAGCCCATGACATTAATCTTTTCAATGTTACGAATTTGTTTTACAATACATCAGTTCATGTGAAAACAGAACCTTTAAACAGTATGAAAATTTTTGCAAAATCTAGTTTAGAAGAGTTGACTTAAGTGGCTACATTTACACTTGTGAGTCTAAACTTTTGATGGGGAGTATAGCTGGAATATTGCTGAGTTCATTGTTAGATGGATATCCAAGATGGACACAGGGTCTTGACGACTTGGTTTACGTTACATTCGCTGTGGTTACATCATGTGACACAGTTGACGACAAATGAAGAACTTATGAAACTATTTTAAAGTATATTTTCCTATTGTATCTGTGTTGTAATGTATGTGTTTTGTGTATGTTATTCCTGATGGTGTCATATTTCTGCTCAGTAGTTTTTGTTTATACTTTAGATGTTAGAGGTAGTGGTATCAGCGTCACACAACATCATCTGTACTGCATCATCAACGTCGTGGTTGTGAGGGGAAGATGCTCTGTCTCTCCACACTGAAGGGGGGGTGGGGTAGCCTAATGGTTAAAGCTTAGCTTGTGATGCGAAGACATGGGTTCGATTCCCCACATGGGTACAATGTGTGAAGCCCATTTCTGCTGTCCATCGCCGTGATATTGCTAGAATACTGTTAAAAGCGGCATAAAACTAAACTCACTCACTCACTCTACACAGTGATCACAGCAGATGTTTAAGGTCCATGTGAATGCATACATTCGAGGCTGTAGAGTAATATGTGGGGATGTAAAGGGTTGGAAATTGTACAAGCCCTCCGGGATGATGGGGTAGCATAGTGGTTATAGTGGTTCCCCTGTCACGCTGAGGACCTGGGTTCGATTCCCCACATGGTTACATTGTGTATGTTGCTGGATTATTGCTAAAAGTGGCGTAAAACCATACTCACTCAGTGGGAAAACTGACACAAAGAACATTAAGCTCAACTTGTTCATTCCATTGTGAAAAGTCCCTTGAGCTCTCTTGCTGTGAGATTCATCATATTTCTCGGATCATCATCAATGACGTATAATTTAGCAGTGATCGTCATCAAACTGATTTTTGTAAATGTCCATCTTTGTTAAGTGTCATTGTGATAAATATTTCAAATGTTTATATTTTTAGTTGAACCAATATCTATACCAGTCTGTGTTGTGTTAAGATGGGCTTTGTAAGGTTTTGTCAATGCAAGACAAGTGTAAGGCTTTAATGTATGTGAGTTTCTGTGTGTTGATATTGGGGATTTGTCTTCTCTGCAAGATAGGTTTTATTTTGCAGCATCTTCAGAAATTGTTGGAAATACTTCCGTTGATTTTGAATATTTTACTTATTATTTCTCATAAACTACAGAAATCCTATTGTTGTGCAATATTATAACTTACAGAAATCGTTATACTTTTTTTATTGTTTTCTCCCATTTTGTTGATTCTTTGGTTAATGCTTTTGTAGTGAATCTATGTATTTATTAGGCTGAAACTAAGTTTCAATCATAGCCAACAAACATTTACAGCAACATTTTTTTAATTATATGCGAACTTTTCTTGTAGTCTTTGTTCTGCATTCCCATTAAGGAAAAAAACAATTTTGCCAAGACCAAAAAACTGAAAAGCTGATATTTTTTCCTTAGCATGTGTCTTTGTATAATATCATGTATATATCGAATGAGGGTGAAGCTCCTTTGGTTAATCTCATGTACATTCATTGCCAAAATATACTATTATGTATAAAACAAATACAGTATAACAGTAAATATATTATTTTAAGATTAAACCACATCTGATTATTAGATATTTATATACGCTACAATCACAACATTAAGTTGAGTTTGATGAAATCTTGATGCCATTTTGTTATGTTTTGATGCAATTTTGTTATTTAAAGTGTGAATTATTAGGGTTCTGTTTCACAAAGCAGTTGTAAGGCCTCTATTATTTGAGATAGTGCCATGTTTGAGTCTACACAATGACAATCTCACTTGCTATCTTACTGTCATTAAGTCTCATTGTTAAAGGGGCGGTGGGGTAACCCAGTGGTTAAAGCATTCCCTCATCACGCCAAAGGCCGGGTTCGATTCCCCATATGGGTACAATGTGTGAAGCCCATTTCTGGTGTCCCCTGCTGTGATGTTTGCTGGAATATTGCTATAAGCGGCCTAAAACCAAACTCACTCATTCACTCACTCAACAAGAGATGCATACGGAGCATTATATGGATACGTTTGCAGGTCGCTGGTACATTTGTCTGTTACAGATAGCTGTTACAAAGATGCCAACCCATATGATTTTGTTACGAAAAAACACAAAATACGCGACTACGATAGCAGTAAAAATATACGAATTTAAAAAATAAAATTATCAAGTAACATACATACCATACACAATAAATTTCAACCACATTTTATTCAGTATCAAGCTATATGTAGATACCGACTACTGATTTAGGTACAATGTTAATTTACAAGTTTTTAGAATATCTATATATTTTTTTATGAAATCTGAAAATTCTTTAAAAAGTTAATACTAATTTTGGCCCCAAAAATACTAATTATTGCAATAGTTTTTGGCCAAAATACTAACTGGGCTAAATTAGGGTTGGCATCTCTGCTGTTACAGACCTTGGTTACAGGTCTCTGTTACAGGCTTCTGTCACCTGTCACCTTCACAAGCTGTGTGTTCTCCACGCTGACCATGATATTCCCATGCCGTGTTTGAAGAGGGGTACAAATAATTTTCACTAAAATGTACAAACACTACAACACTTAATTACTGTGGCGACTGTACGACCACTTTATGAAACAGGGTCCCAATCCACAAAGCGTTCGTAAAGTTACGACATGTCGTAACTCTATAGTTTACCATAGGCTTACGAATGCCGTAGCTCTAAGAACGCTTTGTGGATAGGGACCCTGGTCTCTTATCAGTATTTATTTCATGATGGATTTTGTGTGCAATACATTCCTGGTTGAGGGTATTCTGTATTACCGTACCTATTTCAGTCTTTCCTTTTTGTTGACTGCAGGTTTATTTCTTGTGATTATGTGCACCAATATACAATCAACATTCCACCTTCCAGATATTTTGCATAATTAGCATATTTTATTGTCTGATTTTCATGTTTTCTATTTTTGAAAATTTTAATTATGGTAGTAATTTGCCAAAACAAGGGGAATATATTTACACTTTCATTTGAAGTTTAATTAATTGTTTTTGGTAGTGATGATGATGTCAGGCATATTTTTATGATAGTATTGAGATGGCTCTGCATTTTTGGATGATTCCTTCATCTTTTCTTGGCTCAAAAAGTTCGTGATCTTGACATTTTTGGGGATCATTTTGGGGAGTTGAGTACTTTTTCTTCACTTCATAAGTTGTCCCCAAAATGTCCCTAATTTGTTTTGTTGAATATGTTTCCTAGATTTTCTGATGAAACAAGTTAAGGTGGGTTGGCCTTGTGGTTAAAGCGTTCACCTGTCACTCATTAAGTCCTGAGTTTGGTTCCCGTCATGGGTATGATGTGTGCTATGTAATATTGTTAAAACTGCAATAAATTCTCACTCATTCATATTAAATAAGGATGCAAGTTTTGTAGAAAGATATCTTTTAAGAACTAATCATTTTGTTACAATTTCGTTTTCTTCCTAGCCACATTCGCCAGTACAGGGTTTGGTGCTTGGTTGTGTAGTTCTGCCAAAACTTCATAAATCTCATACATTCAACTTTTTGAGTAAAGAATCTCAATTTTGACAATAGAGAAAGTATTATTTTACAAAAATGACTTTTAAACTACATCAACAAATTTATTTAAATTTTGTGTGTTGATTATACTGATATACAGTAATCTTGGGATTGGGGATCTTCAGACTTGGAATACGTTTATTTGTTGTCCTGTCTAATTATGTAAAGTAAAATGTTCTTCCAATGTTTGTTAACAATGAACAATGTGAGTGCACATAGTTTGTGACGAAGCATTTATAATAAGATACAAGTTTTACTGATACAATCATTCAAGTTACCATGTGTCGTTGTTACACAGTAAAACTTTGATGGTTGTCTGGCGGCCATCTTGTTGGTTATGCCTACCAGTATATAAAAATATTTATGAATGAAGTTATAGAACACATAGTTCTTTCATATAATTAAAGTTAATTGACATGCTATGGAATTATTATTCATATCAAATAAAACAATATGATTAATAATATAATTACATTGTTTGTAAAAGAATTGTCATTGCTCCGATTACATGAGGAGAAGTCAACATCTGTTAGATCTTAAAGAGTAACGGCTTATACAGTAATCTACTTTTATAACGGACACGCTTAGTACTACACACTACAGTACTACAGTACTACTATACTGTTATGCCATGACAGATTAACTATAGTTATATGAGAGTCAGGTGTTCCTTATCTTCTTCTTATCAGTATATATACTGACAAAAATAGTTAGGGATATGTGTAAATTTTGAAATTATGTATAATAATCTATTTATACATTGACCCACTAATAAAATATAAATCATAATAATACCAATATCCCTAACTTATTTTGTCCAGTATATTAATGGCAATATTTCTTTTCATTGATTTGTTAGTCTGAAACTGTTACTGATAATCTGAAAACTCCGGGTTTAGTACTACCAGATTTAGAAGGAGTCACTGTATACATTCAGCCTTTGAAATTCATGCTTGTCTGCTAGCTCAAGACTACTAAATTGTACAGAGGACAAGTGAAAATCCAGGAATTGCTGTCCTCATTGACAGCTGTAATTGTAAATGAGTTCTCAATGCTTCAATCTCACCAGGTATTTGTACTGATAAAACTGACAGTAGTGAGTACCTTTGTCTCGTTCAAGCACGACTGGCTACAAAGTGAAATAAGATTTCCACTTGTCCTATGGACTAGTCTTAAACATTCCCCAAATTTCTATGGCTGTATTTAACAAATGAGCAGTTGTTTTGATGATATTAAAATTATAGAGAAAATATTCCTTAGGCAACATTTGAAAAGGAAATTGGTTTACAATATGATCTGAATAGTTCTTTGTTTTATTCACTATTTCTATAGATATTATACTGGTTGGGTTATATAGGTGTAGATATCATCATGATATAATGATTGTGAAGAATGAATACCTTAAGGTCTTTTTTGAATACAATGAAGTGCACCTTGTGATTATTGTTATGTTGACATTGTTCTGTTGTCAAAACCTGTTACATTGTCGAGGTGTTCACCGTGGCAGAGGTTCATCTGGTACAATGAAAATAAACTCATCCTCAAGAATGGCTTATTTTTCACGTTCGCTACGTTCCCAAAACCTTAAAAATCTGGGTTAGAATTGGCCTTCAGCAGCCCTTACTTATCACAAGAGGTAACTAATGGGATCAGGTGGTCAGGTTCGCAGACTTTGTTAATGCATTTCAATGAATACCAGTTGTGTAGAACCTGTGATCCGGGTTAGAATATTGATCTTCAGTAACCCATGCTTGTCGTACGAGGCAATTAACGGGATCGGGTGGTCAGGCTCACTGACTTGGTTGACACATGTCATTGGTTCCCAATTACGTAGATCGATGCTCATGCTGTTGATCATTGGATTGTCTGTTCCAGACTCGATTATTTACAGACTGGCGCCATATAGCTGGAATATTGCTGAGTGCGGCGAAAAACTAAACTCACTCAATCAGTTGTGTAGAATGATGCTTAGTGCTGTTGATCACTGGAGTGTCTGGTCCAGATGCAATTTATACAATGACTTATTCAGGTTAGACCGTGGCACGGTATCCCAATGGTTTTTCAAAAAAATGTTTTTCAAAGAACCAACTATGAGCAGTTTTATAATGTAGGCTGACACTATCTCCATACCGCCCAGCAGTACAGCATCATTGACAACATCAACGCTCAGAGTCTATGAAGATGGTTGGCATTGGTTGATGGCTGTTGTTTAACGACGCACTCGCCAATGTTACAACTATATGGCGGCGGTCTGTATATAATCGAGTCTGGTCCAGACAATCCAGTGATCAATATCATGAGCATCTGACTATGTACCTGGGATACGATGTCATGTGTCAACCAAGTCAGCGAGTCTGACCACTCGATCCCGTTAGTCGCCTCTTATTACATGCAGGGGTTGCTGAAGATCAATTCTAACCTGCCTCTTCATGGGTGTGGTCCAATGTAACATTTGTTACTTTTGGGATTGCATTTTCTCATACAAATTCTGGTACTATCTTGGTTTTGACCCATACAGTATTTGAACTCAGGGCGAGGCACCATATCATCAGCACAAGTCAGCTGTCTAACTTACTAAGTTTGTATCTCAATTTACCTTCCAGTTCATAGTAAGTCTCAATGGAAAGAGGGGCGTTGGGGTAGCCCAGTGGTTAAAGTGTTCGCTCATCCAACTGAAGACCCGAGTTCGTTTCCCACATGGGCACAATGTGTGAAACACATTTCTGGTGTGCCCCCGTGATATTGCTGGAATGTTGTTAAAAGCGGCGTAAAACCATACTCACTCACTCTTAGTAAGTCTCAATGGAAAGACAAAGAGTGGTATCTCACCCACATTTCTGGTGTCCCCCGCCGTGATATTGCTGGAATATTGATAAAAGCGGCGTAAAACTAAACTCAGTAGGTCAGTCAGTTATCTCACCCAAGATTGCCCCTTCACCTAAGTGCCACCTGAGTTGAATTCCTGCAGTCTAAAATGACTAAATCATCTTCAGTACTACTATTAAAACTTTCTTGTCGATATTGACTGTCTGTTGACTCTTACAACAATATTTCTATAACCCTTTCAGGAAAGGTTAATACCAGCTGTGGCAACTTACCTGTGTAAAGAGAAAGTGTTTCATTGTATAAACACTAATCCCAGTATCTCAGCAATGTGCCCCAGGCCAATACCCCTAAATCTGTCACCCACATGAGTTACCCCCCTTGCCAGTGCTGCCATCTATCACCTCCAGATTGGTCTCACTTAGTAGTGTCCTGAGTCCAACCTTCTCACCATGGCTGATAGCTCACAAACTTGAAAGCTTTCTGTCTTCTGTTATCTTCTGTGGGGATTACACTGCCATTGTTCGTGTTTGCCTGTTCTTTAGCTATATCCAGGCTGTCTAACTGCTGATAACTTTCAATTGCATTTTAATGCCCCCTGATAAGGGCAAGTTACTATCTCTGTAGGTAAATGTTGATGTGAGCAGTGTTTGATAAAAGAAATTTTTGTTTACTTTTCTAGGATACTTGGGTATACATGTAGTTATGAAAGTATGGTCTTTAAGATACAGCCATAAGTGCCATGTAGACAAAGTTATAGATAACAACTTCTTTATTTCGTGAGTGCGACATTTCGATACAGATTCTTGTACCGGTGTCAAACAGGAATGAATCAAGAATGTGTATCATTCCTGCTTGACAACGGTACAAGAATCGGTATCAAGACACCACACTCACGAAATAAAGAAGTTGTTATCCATAAAGTTTGTCTATATTGTACTTCCTGGCTGCCAGAATACCACTCACTGAAGTCATCCATTAGTGAATATTTCAACTTAGGTTAAACATGCTTAGTACAACATGAAGCTGTGTTTTGGAATTTATCTCAACTCATCAGGAATTTATCTCAACTCATCAGGCAAGACCAAGCTTGCAATTACATAGAAGCTGTGTTTTGAAGTGATCAGGATATGCAGGATATATTCAAGCCAAGTTTCAGGATATACGATATGGAAATGTTCATAATATGTGATATACAAAGATTTAGGAAAAGCTATTTAAAGAATTAGGATATGAAATATGAAATGATTCAGGGTATGTAATATGAAATGAAGAGGAGTGGTGGGATAGCCTAGTGGTTAAAGCTTTGATATAGAAAGATTCAGACACAGACCAAAATATGAAAAAGATTCAGGATACTTGATATAGAAAAGATTCAGGACTATGTGATATGAAAAGATTCAGGATACTTGGTTCAGGATACTTGATATAGAAGATTGATATAGAAAGATTCAGATCAGACTATGTGATATGGAAAAGATTCAGGATACTTGACCACATGGGTAAAATGTGTGAAACCCATTTCTGGTGATTCAGGATACTTGATATAGAAAGATTCCTCATGGTGATATTCAATGGTCAAATATTGCTGAAAGCTGTGTAAAACTAAACTCACTCACTCACTGCTTCGTGAAGATTGACTCATCAACTGTGGTGTATGGATGTACCAAAGACAGAGTTCTCTCCCTTCTCATTAAGACATCCACTGTGTCAAAACGTGCATGACAACTTCAAAAGATAAAGATCTATTTATTTTAAATGACAAGATTTCTGACGGACATGGAGTACATGCAAAACATTCAAACTGAATAGTACCATGATATACATATATATCTACATACAAACAAGCTTTAAATAACGTATATAAAAGTTTAACTCTGGAGACTGAATGAGGAAACGGATCATGATCTGGAAGTCATAGTGAACAGATAATATTGTAATATCTGAAATAATGTCGAATCACAGCTGCCAAATATTCATATTTTGAAAATGACATCGAAATATCAAATTATGAATCTATTAGTTGCTATTAATCAAACATTATTGGGCAAATTCTTTCCGTTGTATCAGCCACTATTATATACTTGAAATGTTTCACTGGTCACCTAGGACAGGATATTAATATGGCGCACATATCCACACAACTAGTACATGCTCAAGTCGCTGGATTTTCCCCTCAATCATTGGATGTCAATATCAATTAGCAACCTCTAATCCCTGGGCATCATACTACATCTATCATATGGGGTATATGTCACATATTTAACTAAGTTACATGTTATTCTTTAATAAATAACATTCATATACGAATACATTATATATCGTACTATATCTACAGTTGGAGACAGTTTGGCCACCCATTTTGAAAAAGGTAAAATAAATATACACTAACAAACACAAATACTTAAATACTAACACAATGCACTGACATACAGTTTTCTGTTAACACAATATCGTGGATCATATTGCTCACGTTTAATAGCTGGGTTATGTACCAAGCATTCCGTATCCATCTTGACAGATAATTGTTCTATATTTTCACAGAAACACGTGTAAGTTTCCTGAATCTCTACGCATGCACTGTTCATTTCCGTCCGTGTTTAATGACATATGGGATGGATGTTCCGATTGAAACAACAAAAACACGAACCTTCACCCGAAATTCCCATAGTGTTAACGTATCACAGTCGGCCATCAATAATCTGAGTGACTACACTGGTAAACCACAGCGACTATGTATCACAACGATCCACCATGCCGGAAGTGGCGTTGCCCGGATGTATATTCCATCCTTGAGCCACAAGCATGATGATCATCACATGTTATAAATTCGGTCCGTTTTGACCTCGCCAATAAGATGGACATTGGCCTTCCAGAACTCATGATACTGGGACGTCTTCCCGCTGTCGATCATCTTGTCAATGTCACCTTCCCTGATTGCTTGTTCCATCTCGTCCGAGGGACTGTATGACCAAAGACGTAGAACTGGACGATCTTCGTTCAGATGACAGATTAGAAGAGACAGACGGACCTTGTCCGGGGTCTCCAGTCCGTTCTGAATGATCAATGCCTTGCACATACACAGTTCAGCGATGTCTATAGGTCGGGGAGTCTCCTGCCCCGTGACCTTCACATTGACAACGTAGAGATGACCATCACGTCTGCACAGCGCATCAATTTGACCATTCAGGACCCTGGTATATGTGGAGACCTTGACGTGGGACACCAGGTTGACCGAAAGTGCTGCAAAACTATCAAACCATGTCTCCACCTTCCGGTCGAAAAGCTTACAAAGATGTCCACTGAACGTCGTGTCGACGTCATCGTAGGCCTTGAGCTGGCGAAACATGTCCACGGCGCCTTTCTTCCTCATCATGGCGAGCACCGCGGCGTGGAACTGCCGGCCCTGTTCCTCTCTCGGAGTGTTGTACAGAAACTGTTTGTACTTCTCTTGCGTTCGCTCATGTCGGTTGAGATCTAACCGACATGCTTCTTTCCTTGTGAGAAAGAACTCCCATTTGTTCCTTCGCTCGTTGTTGTAAGTACTGTATACTAAACTTTCACCTAAACTTTCCACTGCTATGAATATCTTCATGGTCGCTAAGTCATAGTTACGAGAGAGCTTCTCCAGCCTTTTTATTAATTCATCCTCGGACATGAGGTCCTTTGAAGACATGAGCGCCATATTTGTATGGCTTTTGGCTAAGTCTGATTAACCCCCAGGGTGTGTCACAGCCGTCAATCTAACATCAACATACATACCATGTCGATAGAACTTGCTCCACACGCGAAACGCCAGTATCCGTAATGTTTCTCCCGTACCACATGAAAAGTTCCCAATAGACCAGTACGGGCTGTCACCCTGATCACGAACTGTTTCTCGGTAGTGTCACACACAAACAAACAGCTCTGTCAATACCCACACTACACCACGATCCCAGCGTCGGAACCCAGGCTTGAAACAGCCCAGTAGTCAATTATCCGGTTAAAATATCAAGTCTGTATTAATCTGCCTCGGAATTTCTTCATGTGTTCTAGCAGTACGTTTATAAGAGAGCTAATTATTTACACAATGGTGTCGGTAGGAGGGCCCGAGCTGTGTGTACGCTAAGAATAACATGTTCTGCGCAGAGACACTGAATGACAGATATTAATCCAACACAAACGCTTTCAATGCACAGCGCGAGACGTGCTTTAACATGTATTATCAAACCCCTGTATGTAGACTATCACTGTGCTGAGCATTACGCTTGGGATGAGACAAAGATATCTTCGAAGGCCCGCGTTATTTTGCATTTTTTTATAATTTTTTTAAGCAGACCCCAAAGTACTCATGATATGTAAAAGGAAACCCGATTCTTTCCAATTACTGTGGTTAACTGTTATAGCATGACATTATTGTAGTACCTTTCGTTATATGCGTGTTCTTTATAAAGGTAGTTTAGTGTATGGGGGGTTACTCTTAATGATTTAACTTGAAACAGCTTACATGTCGAATTCTTTCACAATCGGAACCATGACGATTTCTTTTACAACGAATGTACATATATTATTAAAACATATTAATTATTTTATTTGAAATATATTCTAATACATGAGAAGAAATACAATAATTTCTCCCGATTAATTATTCAATGCATCTTACACTGTATTACAACAATACCGCCAAACAACTGAAATATTTCTGAGTGCGGCGTTTAGCAACAAATAAATATGGAATTTGGAAATATGTGGAAGTTATAGATGTTTAATTCATTAACGCACCCAATTAGTGCCCACGAATACGTGTGTGTAAACACGCGGTGCAAGTGAACAAGGTTTAGTACAAGAGGTGACTAATTTGGTTGGTGCAAGACATCGTATCCAAATTGCGTGGATCGATGCTCATGACGTCAATCACTGGGTTGTCTGGTCCAGAATCGATTATTTACAGACCGTCTTGCCATTGAAGAAACATTGCTGATGTGACGTCTAACACTAAACTAAACTAAACTGTACTTAGACAGCTAGTCTGTCGTACAGACCCTGAAGCAAATATATCCAAGAAAGCCCACACAAGTCTAGAAAATGTGGCAAGTCTAGATTTCCTCAGCTGAAAATGAAGAAAGTCTCAGGGCTCCTTTTCATTATATTTTTTTTTTTTTTTACTATGAACTTTTTTCAGTAAAATATGTTCATTTCAGAGACTAGTTGTTAGTCTATTGGACAGCGGGAGCGGTGGGATAACCTAGTGGTTAAAGTGTTCGATCGTCGAAGACCCCAGGTTCGATTCCCCACATGGGTACACTGTGTGAAGACCATTTCTGGTGTTCTCGCCGTGATGTTGCTGGAATATTGCTAAAAGCGGCGAAAAACAAAAGTCATTCACTCACTTAAACAGCGACAGGTTTATCTCTAGTGCCTGGGTGATATACAAGCCGGTTGTGAAGTTGACATTTACAGTGTACTTGATACACCGATACACAGTCATAATTGGCAATCGACACCCAGTAATGGGCTATACTGATAACCTGAACTCCAAGGTGGATGCGCTTCGATACTCCACAATAGGCAGTATGTCGGGCCAGACATTTTTTAGTACATTTTTTAAGTCGATATTGTACATGTCTGAACAGTGCTCAGATTTTACAGCCTTGCTTGACAACGGTAAGGGATCTATGTCGCATCGTCGCTATTAGTGAGTGAGTGGGTTTGGCTTTACGCCTCTTTTAGCAATATTCCAGCAATATCACGGCAGGGGGACACCAGAAATGGGTTTCACACATTGTGCCCATGTGGGGAATCGAACACGGGTCTTCGTCGTGACGACCAAACGCTTTAACCACTAGGCTACCCCACCGCCAATCGTCGCTGTTAGAGTAAATGTGATTGTTTTATATCTGAACAATTTTATGGATAATTTAACCAGTTCTAAATACAAAATGACATCGATAAAATATAAATATGTGTGATTTTTCTGTTTTTGACAGTAAACATGTCTCATCAAATAACTAATCTCACACCCAGTGTCACATACTGTGTGTATAGCAGTGCGGTGGGAATGTACAAGGGATACTATCAGTCTCGTTTTACCATTGACGCGTTGAGAAAGATATAGACACGTTTCTTTGATTGATTGACACCCAGGTATACCTGACATAAACACCGGGCTGTCTGCACGCCATGCCGTCATTGGGTCGTATCTGTGTCACGTGACTGCCGTTGGTATCAACAGTGCTTTGTTGATTTATTGGGTTGAAAAGGACACAAGAGAAGGAGGGAAGTATTGCTGAAATACAAACAAAGGATTTGGGGGCCCGGGTTGGGGTCTGTGCTAGTGCGGAGTGTCTTATCACAACCCATCGGAGCATGTTAAATACCAGCCTGACTGGGGCTGAGAAATAAGTGGTGGCGGGTTGGAGTGTGAGAGAGAGAGAGAGAGAGAGAGAGAGAGAGAGAGAGAGAGAGAGAGAGAGAGAGAGAGAGAGAGAGAGAGAGAGAGAGAGAGAGAGAGAGAGAGAGAGAGAGAGAGAGAGAGAGAGAGAGAGAGAGAGAGAGAGAGAGAGAGAGAGAGAGAGAGAGAGAGAGAGAGAGAGTTTACGCTGCACTCAGCAATATTCCAGCTGTATGGCGGCGGCCTGTAGATAATCGAGTCTGGACCAGACAATCCAGTGACCAACAGCATTGATCTTCAGTAACCCATGCTTGTCGTAAGAGGCGACTTACGAGATCGGGTGGTCAGGCTCGCTGACTTGGTTGACACATGTCATCGGTTCCCAAATGCGTAGATCGATGCTCATGCTGTTGATCACTGGATTGTCTGGTCCAGACTCGATATTGTGTTACCAGAAACTCTATCTTAGTGCGTTGTAAACTTTAGTATTTAAGTATTTGTGTTTGTTAGTATTTATGAATTGTTCAAAATGGGTGGCCAAACTGTCTCCAACTGTAAATACAGTACGATGTATAATGTATTCCTCTATGAATGTTGTTATTTATTAGTACATCGGTCGAAGAAATAGCATGTAACTTAGTTAAATATGTGACACGACTTCATATGATAGAAGTGTCCTGTCAAACATATTAAGCATATAATAATGGCTGATACAACGGAAAGAATTTGCCTAATGATGTTTGATTAATTGCAAGTAATAGATCATAACTTGATATTTAGATATCATTTCAAAATTGATATTTGAATATTTGGCAGCATTGATTCGATATTATTTCAGATATTGACGTCGATATCAGTTCACTTGGACTTCCAATGCATGATCCGTTTCCTCACGCCAGTCTCCACAGTTGTAGTTTAATATATTTTATTTAAATCTAGTCTGGTGAGGTGAGGTGAAATTGGGTTTAACGTCGTGCTTGAGAATATTTCGCTCATATGACGACGTGCATGCGTGTGTATGTGTATGTGCGGCTGCTTGTACTAGGCCAGACTGAAGCTGTTTTTTTTTATAGTGCTAGCCCACTGAGATACCATGCCGCAGTGAAGCATGAATACCCCACTCAGACACATTAAACTGACTCCGAGCCGACCAGTCCTTGATGTACCCATTAATGCCGAGCGCCAGGCAGGGACCAACAAGTACCATATTTTAACGTCTTGTGGTATGACGCGGTCGGGTATCGAACCCGCGACCTCCCGCTCTCCGGGCGGACGCTCTAACCACTACAGCACAGAGGCGGTCTCTAGTCTGGTAGGTAGATGGTATATGCATATCTTGGTACTACCCAATCTGAATGTTTTGCATGTACTCCATGTCCGTCAGAAATCTTGTCATCAAAAATAAATTCTTTATCTTTTGAAGTTGTCATACAGGCTTTGTCACCATGGATGTCTTAATGAGAACTGAGTCTCTGCTACATCCATTCAGGTTAGTGTGAACTTGGTTAGTGAGTGAGTATGATTTTACGCCACTTTTAGCAATATTCCAGCAATATCACGACGGGGGGATACCAGAAATGGGCTTCACACATTGTACCCATGTGGGGAATCGAACTCGGGTCTTGGTGTGACGAGCGAACCCTTTACCCACTAGGCTACCCCACCACCCGCCTTAGTGGATGAGTGGACATAGTGGATTAGAGTCAGACTTAACGAAGTAGTGAGTGAGTTCAGTTTACTCTTTTAGCAAAATGTCAGCAATATCACGGCAGGGGACACCAGAATTGTGTGGGTTTCACACATTTTACCTATATCGAAACTTCCTCTTCCATGTGGGAGAAATCCTGCATAGCCAGAAGTATGTATATTGCCGCTTGGTCTTGCCTGATGAGTTGAGATAAATTACAAAACAAAGCTTCATATTGTAATAAGCATATTTAACCTAAGTAAAATATTCACTTATGGCTGACTTCAATGAGTGGCATTTTAGAATCCAGGAAGTACAATATAGACAAAATTTATGGATAACAACTTCTTCATTTCATGAGTGTGGCGTCTCGATACAAATTCTTGTACCGTTGTCACGGTGGATTGATACAGATTCTTGATTCATTCCTGCTTGACAACGGAACATGAATCTTTATCAAAACGTCGCACTCACGAAATAAAGAAGTTGTTATCCATAAAGTTTGTTTATGTTCTACTTATGACTGTATCTTAAAGACCATACTCTCATAATTATACCCAAGTACCCTAGAAAAGGAAAAAGGTATTTTATCAAACACTGCTCACATAAACATTTACTCAAATACTTGAATTTACGAGATTTATGTTTTAAGTTTTCCCAGAACTGCACAACCAAGAACCAACCCTGTACTGGCGAATGTGGCTAGGAATTAAAACAAAATGTGACAAAATGATTAGTTCTTAAAAAAGCATCTTATTACAAAACTTGCATCCTTATTTAATATGAATGAGTGAGAATTTATTGCAGTTTTAACAATATTACATAGCACACATCATACCCATGACGGGAACCAAACTCAGGACTTAATGAGTGACAGGTGAACGCTTTAACCACAAGGCCAACCCACCTTAACTTGTTTCATCAGAAAATCTAGGAAACATATTCAAGAAACCAAACTAGAGACATTTGGGGACAATTTACGAAGTAAAGAAAGAGCACACAACTCCCCCAAAATGATCCCAAAACATATCCAAGATCCCCAACTTTTTGGGTCAAGTGTAGATG